GATTAGAAAAAAGTATTGAAGTTTAAGGATCTTCTCTTTTCCTCCCTGGCTCCTAGAAGATCAGCTGCCATCATGAATGACACAGAAATTATGCAGACCGGGAAGTTCATGACCAACAGACATCTTTAGTGGAAACAAATGGTCATTGATGTCCTTCACCCTGGGAAGGCAACCGTACCCAAGAGAAATGCAGGGAAAACTAGTCAAAATGTGTGAGACCACACCAGATGTCATCTTTGTGTTTGGATTCAGAACCAATTTTGGTGGTGGCAAGACAACCGGCTTTGGCATGATTTATGATTCCTTGGATCACACAAAGGAAAATGAACCCAAAAGTAGACTTGCAAGACATGGACGATGTGGGAAGACCTCGAGAAAACAGAAAAGGAACGTGAGAACAGAATGAAGATAGTCAGGGGGACTGCAAAGGCCAACGCTGTGCTGGCGAAAATGAGCTGGGGATTGGACAACAGGAGTAAAGATTTATCTGTGGTGACTGCAGATATTTCACAAGAGGATTTGTAAACTAAGAACTTTTATGTGAAAATAATAGTTACTGTAAGGATCTTAGAGTAGAAAGGGCAACACTTTCAGGGCATCACATAACAGGCACTTTGAAGTTAGGGGGATGGGACACCTATTAGCTTCCTTCCACTCAACTCGTCATTGTAACTGTCCTTTTGCAACTTTCTCAATTATATTTTAAACAGTTCTAAAGATGCACTGAGGTATCGAGTTCTTTTTACATCAAAATTTGTCTTCGCAGAACAAGGTCACAGCTGGAGAGTGTGGAGAGATGATATGGCTCTAGAAGAAAGAAAAACAAGTGTCTATGGAAGGATAATGGGCAGCAGCCTTTTCTTTTCCTTTTTTTAATCCTCACCTGAGGATATTTTTCCCATTGATTTTTTTTTTATTTTTTTTAGAGAGAGAGTGGAAGGGACGGAGGAACGGAAGGAGGGAAAGAAAGGGGAAAAAGAGACAGAGAGAGAGAGAGAGAGAGAGAGAGAGATGGACTGGTTGCCTCCAGCATGTGACCAGACTGGGGCAGGGGGATCATACCTGCAACCCTTCGGTCCATGGGCCGACACAACCACTGAGCAACACTGGCCAGGGCAGCTTTTCCCTTTGCAATATTTTAACTCAAGTGTGAAATGATTACAACAATCCTTATCTGAGGCAAAGGAAAGTGATGAAAGCAGATATTTTTATTCAAATATGTGGCATTTCTTTCCTTGGGAGCACTTAAGAGCACATACATATACAACAGATGGCACAGGGAGCAAGTAGTTCACCAGCTAGAGGAATTTGGATAGTATAGTCTTCTTAAGGCCCTTTGTAACCCATAATCTATGAAGCAAATGTTATGACCTTCATTCTATCCAATTCTGTTAAAAAGCTGTTAACAGATACAAAAAGGGAAAATTGCAAACTGCTCCGGTTCCAATAAAATGTCTCATATCAGCCCTGAATATTATTTCAGGGGAAATAACGTCAGCAATTCTTTGGATCTCTAAGTTAGGTGTACACTTGGGTGATACAGGCAATTTAAACTTTTAGAACAGAGCCAACATGTGGGAGCCAGAAAGCTAGAAGCCATATTTTAATGATACAACACTGCCACCTAGAGGCCAAACACTAAGGAATTGGACACTACAGCCAGAATCAGCCCTGCCTTCACATCAAAACTGCAATTAGAGACAATTTAAAAGAGCATGGGTTTTCTTCAACACATGACACTGAGGAAATGCTAGAGTAGCAAAATAATATGGTTCTCACACCACTACCTACAAGGACAGGTCCTGAGTACAGAACAGACCCCTCCCCCCCACACACACACACAATGGCAAGGTTTGGGGAGAGTGGAGCAGAGATAGAAAAAGGGAGTGGTCAGAGCCTTTGTGAAGGATGTGGCATTTAGGCCGAGTTTAGTAGAATAGAATTTCTACAGGCCAAGGGAAGCAGATGCCAGGTTCAAGGAACCTGTGCTACTAAGCTCAACTGTGGAAATATACAAGCTTTACTCTATCTCACAACCAGTTTGCTGACAGTTGTGTTAAGACACTTGGAAATGGAATAAAAATCATACTTCTGATCCCACTGAAAACATTTCAGTAAAGCATCCTTCAGTATACTTGTATGCTGCTTGAATAGGCATTTATAAAGAGTCAAATAAATTTAGGAACACAGGATATAAACCACAGTAGACTCCTCTATGGCAGGTTTTCTCAAATGCTGCAGAACCTTTAATATTTGACTGTACATAGTAAATCTCCAAGAAGAGACTACAGAATTCTGTTTCCAAATTTTTTTATTTTTATTTTTTTATCCTCACCCAAGGACATTCTTCCATTTTTTTGTACAGATAGAGTGGGAGGGAGAGAGAGGAAAAGAGAGAGAGAGAGAAACATCGACGTGAAAGGGACACATCGAGTGGCTGCCACCCTCACGACCAACCAGGGCTGGGGACAAACTGCAACCGAGGTACGTGCCCTTAGCGGGAACCGAACCCGGGTCTCTCTAGACCGCAGGCCGACACTCTAACCGCTGAGCCAAACCGGCCAGGGCTGTTTCCAAAATTTAACTGTCAAATTTTTCTGTAAAACGTCCCATGAGCAAACCCCCCTCTCCCTACTTGGGAAGCAAAGTTAAGTGGCAGTTTAAGGATGAAGGCTGTAGAATCAAACTGCATAGATTTCAATTCTAACTCCACCACTCACAACTGAGCCTCTGTTGGGCTGTTTCCCAATCTGCAAAATAGGAACATATACCTACCTCACAAGGTATTGTGAAGATTACATAGGTAATACACATAAACCACCTAAAATCATTGGTCCCTCCTTAGGCTCGCTATGTCCAGTTGCCCAACTCTATAAGGAGCAACCCAAGGAAGATACTATTAACAGAAATGTACTCCAGCTATGGACAACTGCTTGCTACCTACATTCTAGTACAGGAACTGTAAAGACTATGTTCCTTTGGGGTCTTCAGGGGGGAAACGGAGAGTGTTTAAAGGTGCTTTACTAGCTTAAATGGAAAATAGTAATGATATCCACTAACCTCTTTTGGATATAATTGGAAGAGCTTTCAATATTAGCAAAACAAAAGAGGACAAATAGAAAACCCTAACAGTCTACAAATCACACACACTGTTTCCCCAACTACAAAGTTGTAAGTATCTTTAAAATCACTTGTTTCTCTGTATAGGCACAGAACCAAAAATTTAGAAGGTAAATTAGCACAAATCATGAATGCCTTCCTTGAATATCCTATACTGGGGCATATATATATATAATGTGTGTGTGTATGCATTTGTATGCATGTCTACATGAATGTGTGTGAACAGGAGAGGTTGTGGTGTGTAACAGCTGAAACCCCTTACTGCAAAAGATTTTAAAGGTTTTATTTCACCATCTGTCTCAGCTCTCTCTGGTCACCATAAACATCGATACAGATGCAAAACGTATCAGGCAAATCCTTTTTAAAAAAATTTTTTTTTTCTTTATTGATTTGAGAGAGGAAGGGAGAGGGAGAGATAGAAACATCGCTGAGATAGAATATCAACTGGCCGCTTCCCGCATGCCCCCCTGGGCATCTGGCCCACAACCTAGGCATGTGCCCTGACCAGGAATCAAACCAGCGACCTCTTGGTACATGGGTCGACACTCAACCACTGAGCCACACCGGCCAGGTGGCAAATCTTTAATAGTTCAATATGATCCTTCCATTTCCCTTTTCCTGAGTTGTCCTCTTTCCTCTTCACTTTATTTCTACTTCACCATTTTTCACTTTTTCTCCTTAATCACTCTCTGAATTTATAATTTTCCATAGTAGTAGGGAAGAAACATTTCTTGGGCACCTATGTGCCATGTTACACTCATCTAGAGGCATTAGTTCCATTTAACCAATGGGAGCCTGAAGCTAAAGGTCAAGACCAGCAGCACTGGGCTGCCACACCTGGCCACCAACTAGATCTGTAACAAGGTTGGCCAACCTTGATTTACCCAAGTCAGTGCAGTTTACAACCCTGCGCAAGTATCACTTTCAGCAGTACGCTGATCTGGAACTTCAGTTATTTGATCACATCATCTATAACCCTAGACAAGGCTGTTTAATCCCCTGGACTCAGTTCCCATTTGATAAATGACACAGAATATGATAGTATTTTGGATTTTTTCAATCTGTTTCTGATTTAAGATTTTAAAATTGATTTTGAGAGATGGAGAGTAAGAGAAACATTGATGTAAGAGCATAACATTGATCGGCTGCCTCCTTCACGCTCCCCACTAAGGATCTAGCCCGCAACCCAGGCAGGTGCCCTGACCAGGAATCAAACCAGCAACCTTTCAGTGCATCGGCCAGTGTCCAACCAACTGAGCTACACCGGCCAGGGCTGTTTTTGTTATTTCTATTTCAGAGTTTTAAAACTGAACTTCTAAAGTTGCCCAATCATTAAAGATCTTTCAACCACCCTCCCTTCCATAAGTTAATGTATACTTTTTACTCCAATTAGTTCAGACCAACCTAACTAAATAAGCATCTATATAAACAAACATTGATTTTACTGACATTTAAGGGTCAATAATGAGTATCTCAGGAACTGAAAGAAATGAATCACAAGATGGAATTGGTATACATTTTTTATATGGTGTTCTACTTAATTCATCTCCTTCCTAGCTTAGATATAATACATCAATTATGCCAGGCCCCAGATATTCCCAACCATGAGTGAGTTCTGTTAGCATGAAACACAACCAAAAAACCATTTTCACCTGGGCCTAGACCTCCTATTCTAATTAGAAACAGCCCAGGAAAGATGTCTGGTCACAATGCATGAAATTCCTGCATCAGGATAGAACTTGAAGTCCTGAAACATAGGCGTGTGAGGCAGCAAGGAAAAGAAAATGGACGATAAAATGATAACGTGGGACAACCCAATGTTCTATCACCCCACCCTCTCATGTCTTAGGCAAATGAAAAAGCTGATTTTGGTGTAAATACATTTATTGATACCCATTTTATATAGTTCAACGAAATAATCTATAAATATAAAAGCATTTTTCTTTTGGATATCACCATGGTCCATGTAAATACTCAGCAGTCAGAGTCACCTGCAGGAAGCACTCCAAGTCACACTATTAAGTTTACAGACCTGAACATACACATTTCATTCAACAGTGGCACTCATGTACTCAAGTGGTCCAGTGGCTTTGGAATAAATGACCTCTGGGCATGAGTAGTAAAAATAATGTGTAAGTTTAAATCAACAGAAAGGGTAAAAACCAACAACAAAAAGAAAAAATTGTGAATATGCTAGGCGAAGGAAGTACCACAGTTGACACTTGGTGTCAGAATACTGGAGACAAAGTATTTTGAACAACACGTCTGTAGCACCATGTGCTCTCTCCGACTCCTAGAGGACCAGTGCCTGAGGGTCATTCATGATCAACAAAACAGCAGTACTTAAGGAATCTAGATAGCTTAGAATAAAAGGTATGTAGCTGCTGGTATCAAGTTTAAAGAAAAATGAGTTAAATATTTCAATGACATAATGAGTTCCTCCCCTAGGAGGAGGAGATTGTGGGGAAAATAATTTTTTTAAATTCCCCTTACTACATCGATCATGATCATTCATCTCATGCAGAAGAACCCAGATATCTGGTACCCAAAACACCGGTGCAAAAATTTTCTTCGGTTTTAAAATATTTTCCTCAGTGCTTCCACTGCTGAACCTTGCCTTTGACCCGATGCAACATAAAAGTTTCTCCTTTCTTCAGTAACAAATACAGGAATGTCCTTTGCTGCAGTCAGACCATGAGTCTTCTGAGTTAGCAAGCAAATGCATTTAAAAGGTCTTAGGTATGCAATGTTCAAAATTGAAATCTGAGAGGCAGTGTTAGAACTTAAGCAAAGCAGCATTTTTACAGACTACTCAACTGAAAACCTAAGTGGAGCATATAAAAATTCAGTTCTATTATTTTCAACTGGTAAATGATGACAACACTCCCTGGTAAGGATGGGTAAGTGGTGTTATCTCCAAGTCCAAAATATCCCAACTACTTAAAGTAGGACCCCAAAGAAGAGAAACACACACTTGAGTTCTGTGGTCTCTGGAATTCTTTTTTGTCATTTTTTAAAAAGAAGAAATAGTAGATTCAGTTGTAGACCACTGGTTGAAGGAGTTTTCATCCAAATGAGAAACTCTACCCTTCGTCTCTAGTGGAACAGGCACCAGATTCCCACAAGTGGCAACTCCCATGTCCTGTAGCACGTGGCATCTGACCCTGTAGTGAAGAGTAAGCTGGCACAAAGCCCCGACCACTGGAATGCAGGCTAGATGGCATTTCTCGGTGTGCCATTGTGTGCCAATGCTTTCAGGCTGGGGGCACTGGTCTGATGACCACAGCCCCTATGAGAAGTCACACCCACCTCAAAAACTTCATGAATAGCTTTTCGGAAACAATGGAAGTTGTAGTCTATTAAACCTGCAAGAGGAAAAAAGAAGATCAGTCCTCCTGAATGTCAACTGTAAAATTACCTACCAGGAAATATTTGATGACAGAAAAAAAAAAAAATGATAGTTATTAAAAGAACATACATTTAACTGAGGAATTCCCTACACTGAAAACAAATAAAGCATATGCCCAAATCATTAACATCGGTTAGCTCTGGGGATTGGGGTGTAGATAGGTTAAACAAATAAAGGAATTAGGAAGGTAAATTTGCTAAAAAAATAATTTACAATAAAATCTAAAATGAAAGTTATATATATATATATATATATTTTTTTTTTGCCTAGTCAGTATGGCTCAGTGGTTGAGCATCCACCCATGCACCAAGAGGTCGCCGGTTTGATTCTCGGTCAGGGCACATGCCCAGGTTGTAGGTCAAATCCTCAGTGGGGGACATGCAGGTGGCAGCCAATCGAAGTTCTCTCTCCTTGATGTTTCTGTCTCTCTCCTTCTCCCTTCCTCTCTCTCTAAAATCAATAAAGAAAAAAAAATTTTTTAAAGTAAAATACTTTTTGAATTATCTTTTCTTTTTACACATCTTTGGGGCAGCAATGAAGAGCTGAAGGAAACAGCTAGAATAATGGTTTGGCAAACTGTTCGATAGAGCCCTGGGGTTTGAGAGGTACCAAAAAGGCCCACCAGCAGAGCCTCAGGCAGCCTGAACCCCTCCTCAGGCAAGGCAGCTCTTTTTCATGAACTGGCTTCTAAATAAGATTTTGGTCAACCAAAGAGTTCTATTTTATGACAGAAATGACTAGTTGCCCACTAAACATCTATTTTCCCCCCTTCTCCTCAGGAACAGAACCCCAGTTTTGGGTGAGCATACTGGTATTCAGCTGAAACATTACACTCCCCATTCTTCCTTGCAGTTACTCTATGGCCACATGACCAATTCTGGCCCCTGGAATAAGTGCAAGTGTGTGGGACTTCTGTGAAGTCTCCTTAAAAAGTAAGAGGATGTATTCTTTCCTCACCTCTGTTCCTCCTTAATGACTAGAATATGGATAAAATGGCTGGAGCTCCTGTAGCTATTCCAAACCATGAGCTGACCTTGAGAATAGAAGCCAGTGCTAAAAATGGCAGAGCAGAAAGAAATGCAATTATGCCCTCGAGGATACTGGGACAGAAAGATGACACGCAAAAAACAAATCAAAACAATCTGCTGTCAAGTGACTATTAATGTGAAAGGAGTCCAAAGGAGGGAAATCAACAAGTACAGGGCAAAAGCAGCCAATGAAACTTCAGAGATGAAGCAGAACTTAGGGGAAATGGGCGAGATTTTATCAGTAGGAGGGATCACAATACCAGATATCAGATTATACTACAAAGCCATTGTAATCAAAACAGCCTGGTACTGGCAAAAGAACAGGCATATAGATCAATGGAACAGAACAGAGAACCCAGAAATTGACCCAAGACATTATGCTCAATTAATATTTGACAAAGGTGGAAAGAATATACAATGGAGTAAAGACAGCCTCCTTAATAAATGGCGTTGGGAAAATTGGACAGCTATATGCAAAAAAAATGAAACTAAACCACCAACTTACACCATACACAAGAAAAAACTCAAAATAGATAAAAGACTTAAATGTGACCCGCGAATCCATAAAAATCCTAAAAGAAAATGTAGGCAACAAAATGTCAGGCATCACACGCAGCAACAGAATTTTCACTGATACAATGCCTAAGGCAAGAGAAACAAAAGAAAATAACACATGGGACTACATCAAACTAAAAAGCTTCTGCATCCCCCCCCCCCCCCCAGAAAAAGCATCAAAATGGAAAGGGAACCCACTACATGGGAGAGCATAATTGCCAACGATACATCAGATAAGGGGTTAATATCCAAAACTATTATATAGAATACTCACACAACCCAACAAAAGGAAGACAAAGAAACCAATTTAAAAATGGGCAGAAGGTCCAGCCAGTGTGGCTCAGTGGTTGAGCACTGACCCATGCACCAAAAGATCACCAGTTCAATTCCTGGTCAGGACACATGCCCAGGTTGTGGGCCCGATCCCCTGTGGGGGGCATGCAGGAGGCAGATAATCGAAGTTCCCTCTCATCGATGTTTCTATGTCTCTCTCCCTCTCACTTCCTCTCTAAAATCAATACAGGAAAAAAAACACGTTTTTTTAATGGGCAGAGGACCTAAATAGACAACTCTCCAAAAAGGACATGCAAAAATGGCCAACAGACATATGAAAAAATGCTCAACGTCACTAATCATCAGAGAGATGGAAATTAAAACAACTATGAGGTATCGCTTCACACCTGTAAGATGGCTGCCATCAACAAAGCATCAAACAACAAGTGCCCTCTAGTACACTGCTGGTGTGAATGCAGACTGGTGCAGCCACTATGGAAAACAATATGGTCTTTCCTCAAAAAATTAAAAATTGTCTTCAAGGAGAAGAACAAAAATATGAACAATAAAATGGCAATTAATACATATCCATCAACAATTGAATCTACAAACAAAATGAGCAAGCAGAAAAAACTCCTAGAATAGACTCCTAGATACAGATAACTTTTTGTTGCTTGCCAGATGGGCAGGGACTGGGGGGATTGTGAAAAAGATAAAGGAATTAAGAAGTGCAAATTGGTTGTTAGACTGATGAACCTCAAAGGGAAGAGGGGAGGGAGGGTAGAATGAGATAAACCAAAGAACATCTATGCATATATGCATAACCAGTGGACACCAACAATAGTGTGGAAAAGGCGGGGGGGGGGGGGGGGAATGGATTGGGGAGGAGAGGGTTAACGGGAAAAAAAGGGGGGGACATTTGTAATACATTCAACAATAAAGATGAGTAAAAAATAAAATAAAATAAAAATTGAACTGCCATTTGACCCAGTGATCCCACTTCTAGGAACATATCCTAAGAAGCCTGAAGCACCAATCAGAAAAAATGTTATGTACCCCTGTGTTCATAGCAACACTATTTACAATTGTTAAGATCTGGAAACAGCCCAAGTGTCCATCAATAGATGAGTGGATAAAAAGCTGTGATACATATACACAATGGAACACTAGGCAGCTGTAAAAAAGAAAGATCTCTTATCCTTTGAGACACATGGAGAGGCCTGGAGAGTATTATGCTAAGTGAAATAAGCCAATCAGAGAAAGACAAATACCACATGATCTCACTTATTTGTGGAATATAATGAACAAAATAAGCTGATGAACAAAACAGGCCCAGAGACATAGAAGTAGAGTTCAGACTGACAAATCTCAGAGGAGGCAGGCCGCGGGGAGGGAAGAGATAAACCAAAGAACTTATGCATATAAACATAACCAATGGACATAGACAACAATGCTGGGGGGGGGGGGCAAAATGGGAGGAGGGTGTCAAGGGGGAAAAGGAGAAACATCTGTAACAAAAATAAATTAATTTTTAATAAAAAGATTTTATCAGGCAGGAAAGAGGAGCAAAATTGTAAGACAACAGCAGGGAGCACAGCACAGGTGAAAGATGGGAAAGAAACTAGTCTGACTGGAGAAAGGATCAGAGATTCTTGGTAGGAAATACCGGGAATCCAGTCTAAATAAGTTAGAGCCAAATTAAGAAGGTCCTTCAGACTCAGGGAAAAAAAACTAAAAGTTTTGGTAAGTTCAACTACATTAACATATACTTCTGTGCAAATGGTAAAATAAAATTGACAGCTGGGGAACGTTGAACAGTGGCCAGATATTTGATGATATTATGAAATCATTATTAATTTGTTTATATGTATTAACATGTATTTACAGCAGTACTGTTACGTTTGAAAAAGAGTACTAGCTCTTAGAGATATCTGCTGAAATCTATACAGACCAAGTGGTTTGATGTCAGGGATTTGTTTCAAAATAATCTAGTAGGGAAAGAAGTATAGAGATGAAATAAGATTGGCAATAATTTTGATAATGTTGAATCGGGGTGGTAGATTACAAAGGGTTCATTATATTTAATTGAAAAAAGGACACACAGAACAAAAGACTGACCCTATGTTGATGATTGCTGAAGCAGGGAAATGGGTACATAAAGAATCACTGTGCTGGTCTACTTTTGTGTACATCTGAAAATTTCCATAACCAAGAGTTTAAAAAACTTTTTTAAACGTTAGAATGGAGAAAAAGAACTCCTAAGAAGTACAAAACTGATACTGTACAAAAAATATCAGTACAGCCCTGCCAGTGTGGTTCAGTGGATTGAGCATCACCCCATGGACTGAGAGGTCCTGGTTGGCTTCTGGGTCAAGGCACATGCCCTGGTTTCAGGCTAGATCCCTGGTAGGGGGGCATGCAGGAGGCAGCCAATCGATGTATCTCTCTCACATTGATGTTTCTATCTCTCTCTCTCCCTTCCTCTCTTCTCTCTAAAAAAAATCAATAAGAACATATTAAAAAAAAATCAGTACAAAAAGGAAAGGAATAACAAGGGGTAGATTAACAAAGAAGAAACCTGATCACACATAAAAAGGTAATTAATTGCTTGCTCTAACTAGTAAAAGAAGTAAAAATTAGAGCCAAATATGATACCATTTCACACCTACCAGATTGACAGTAAACAGTCTAACAATACCAAGCATTATCAAGGACATAAAGTGACAAGAATTCCCACACAGTACTGTCAGGAGTGAAAAATGGTAAAGCCACTCTGGGGAACAATGTCTAATAAAGAAGATGTGATGTCCTCTAAGAATTCCACTCCTAAATACATACTCGAGAGAAATTCTCCACATGTGCAAAGGCAAATTTGTTCATGAGCATTGGTTGCAAAACTATTTTTAATCTTAAAAGTAGTCTAAATGCCCAGCAACCAAAAAATAAAAATGTGGTATATTCAACCCATAAAATATGGTGTGGCAGTGAAAATGAATGAACTAGAGCTGTATGTTATCAATACAGATAAATCTCAAAAACAGTCTTGCAGAAGACACTACTCATTTTCACACTATGTATACTCTACACTGTTTATAGACAGATGTGAAGTAAAAGAATAAATCATGCATGGGAAATATAAAACACAAGTGCAAAGGAGGGGTTTGAAAAATACAAAGAAGACATGGAGGACAAATATGTTTTGTCATGTTTTAGTTCTTAAGTTCAAAGAAATAAAAACATTTTTGTTTTATCCAAAACATTATGCATATCTGAAATAATATTAACATTAATGAAAGAACAGTAATCATTTAATGTTAATTAACATTAAAATACCAGGCAGAAGAGCAGGGACTTGTTGCAGTGAATAATAGAGAGCTATTGTAGACCACTAGTAAATAACATAAGTGATTTTCTGAATTCAGTTTTCTTTTGAAATAAAAGATGATATATACCAAGCCTTATATAGATATATATGCAGGAGTGGGCAAAGGTAGGTTTATAGTTGTTCATATGGAAATAACACAAGAATAAACTTGTGTTTCACATACTTACAACTGTAAAACTACGTTTGCCTACCCCTGTATATGTTGAATGCATAACGTCAAGTAGGAAGTTGCTGCAGCCCATAAGCCTGGAGGGAAGAGAACCTATATAGGAGTCACTGACAGTAGAAATAAAAAGAAAACCCAAGAAACAGTTCCAAGAAACAAAAAATAAGATTTGGGGAAAATTCAATGTAAGCAATACAAGAAAAGAATGAAAAAAGAGAACACTGGCCCTGGCCGGTTTGGCTCAGCGGTTAGAGCGTCGGCCTGCAGTCCTGAGAGACCCGGGTTCGGTTCCCGCTAAGGGCATGTACCTCGGTTGCAGTTTGTCCCCGGCCCTGGTTGGGTCGTGTGGGTGGCAGCCACTCGATGTGTCCCTTTCACGTCGATGTTTCTCTCTCTCTCTCTCCCTCCCACACTCTATCTAAACAAAAAATGAAAAAATGTCCTCGGGCGAGGATAATAAAAAAAGAAAAAAGAGAACACTGAATGCTCTCTTATCTGCAAGAGCCCCTTCAGCAATACCACCACGTGACAACCTGACTACAAGACAGCTAAGCTTGGACACTAAAGAAATGTCATAACTAATAACAGAAATAGGGTGGCCAGGACGGCCATGAAACAAAGGGGAAAAGTAAATGTTCACCAGTTTTTTTTACACTATGGGCAAGATACCAATCAAATATTTAAGTGTAGATGTCTTACTAATAGCTCCAAACATGAGGCAGGAACATGGGCCCAAGTCAGAGCTGCAGTTGTGAATTTTGCAATGAACCACATAGAGAAGACTAATTGGGATGTGCTGACCTAGAGAATAAGAGATGTAGGCAAGGAAGACTTGACTCTGAAGAACACTTGGAACCAAGAAAATGAAAAACGGTCAGAAAAAATAGAAGACATGGTCAGAGAAATAAATACATAAAACCACCCAGAGGGTTCAGCTTTAGGAAAGCAAAGAGAAGAAAGTTTCAAGTAAAGAGGGACTGACAGTGTCACATGTTTCAGAAGGCTGAAGGGGCTTCTAAAGGCCAAGAAGCTACAGAATGAGAAAAAGCCATTGAATGCACCAAGGAGATAACATGGTAACCTCTGAAAGAATCATCCCAGCAAACTGGTTCAGGTGGAAGCCAGACAGCAGGCAGCTGGGTAATGAAAAGATGTGAAATAAAAGAGACTGGAATAAAAAAACATAATTTAAAATAAAAGATCAAAAGAAGGAAGAAGTAAGTCTGACTATATTTGGAAGTGAATGGACAAAAGTAGTTTGAGCTTTTAATCATCTAACAGTGATTTTCAACCTTATTCATCTCATGGTACACATAAACTAGTTACTAAAATTCTACGGCAAACCAAAAAATATTTTTGCCAATCAGACAAGAAAATAGATATAATTTTGATTCATTCACACCAAACGGCTACTGTTGTCATTTTTTATTTTACAATCTAAGGGAAAGAGGTCAGTGCCACTGACTAAATAGTCAGATATTGCATGTTTCAAGAATTCTTGTGGCACACCAGTTAAAAACTGCTTGTCTAACACTGCAGTATTATTTTCTTGTTTTCAAGAACCTAAGAAATTATGACAAGAGAATTTAATATAAATACAGCGTTTTAAAATACCATTACCTTTTCGTTCAAAACTTTCTTCCCTAAGAATGCAGACCAGTGCCAAAAATTTAGTCACTTCCTTTAAATAAAGGACAGTTGTATTATTCAGCTTGATAATTGCCATAGATTCTTTGTCATAAGCACTTCCACTGCCATCTTCCTTTAACCTGTTTTAAAAGAAAGTATTGTTCATTACAGGATTCACAACTAAATATTTTGTCACATTTCATTTGCACAGTGACAAGTCTTTCCACCCAGTTTCCCAACTGTCTTTTGAGAAAGAATACTGGCTTAAAAATACCGGCGCAGCACTCCTCGTTTAGGTGTATAGGGTTCCCAGACCTTGGTACAGCATCCCATGCGTTCACAAACTGTATCTAATTTACCTAAAAGGCATGGAATACAGCAGGCTCAAATCTTCCCTCATGCTAACCTGTACTGACACAGTCTGCAAATAAAGAAAAACCAAAATAGGAAAACTGCCACTAGTGAGAAGAGTAAGAAAAAAAAAAAACTAAAATAAATAGTCCATCAAAGATACTGTGGAATCCTGATGCCTGCAAAGTGAGTCTTACAGGGTCTAAAAACTTTCATTTACTAAACTAGAATTGTCATTCTAGAATTGCTGTATGAAGTCCCTCTTCAAAAAATGTAAATCAACAGTCAAGCAGCAGCAAATTAAACTATAATAAAGCACACCAAAATACATGCATAGATTAAGAACAATGAGATAATGGATATTTTTCTTTCATAATGTACTTCATAATTTATTTCACTATGTATCTTATATTAAAAAAAAACTTTACAACTACTTTTGATTTTTTTAATTATAAAAAACTTGGTTTATAAAATTTTGATTTGTTTTCAAGAAAATGTTCTAGTCATCCTTTTTTTTTTAAAGATTCTTTTATTGATTTTCAGAGAGAGAGGAAGGGCGAGAGAAACATCCATGTGAAAGTGAAACACTGATCAGCTGCCTCTATAATCAGCTGCATTGTATTTTTTGCCGATCTGACAAAAAAATAAATAAAAATAGGTGTCATTTTGATTCATTCATACCAGTTGGCTACTGTTGTATTGGCTGTTGTCATTTTTTACTTAACAATCTTAAGGAAAAAGAGGTCAATGTAGTCAGGTATTGCATGTTTTAAATTTTTTTGCAGTACACCAGTGTGCCTGCTGAGACACACAGGGTGAAAATCACTGTATTAGGGGAATCAATCAGGGCTATCAGAAGTAACAGAGGTTATTGGCTTTTGCAATACTAGTAATTCTCCCAAGTTTTCATTCATCCTCTGGGAATGTAGAAAATTACACCTTTGCTGGCTTTTATTAATTTCTGTATACAGTTTGATGAATTTATATAAAGGAAGAGTTTATGATTTAGGGATTTACTTTGGAAACTCAGATATATAGGTCAAATTTTTATATGTGTAAGTCCTTCTGACATCCAAAATTCCAATTTCCTTAAGGATCCTTCATTCCACAAAGCCTAGGGTTAAATTAGGAACCAGTACTCACTGTTTCTCAAAATGTTTTTAACAAATTAATCTGGTTTTTTGATTTAGCTAAGTCCCTAAGTGAGAAGATGCAGTGCAACCCCTCCCCATGAAATAATGGCAGGAGAAAGTCTGGCTCTAATCACACTTTTTCAACTGTTCTTATTCATCCTCTCTGAAGACCCAGCAGCCTACCTACAAAGAAATCATACTCCAAGTTGAAGTAGTATGGTCAGAACAAGTCCACTTCAGACAGTACTTGCTGGAGGCCTCAGAAAATAAGCCCCCTGACAAATTGAACTGGTAGTTTTCCACCTGCGATCTTGCAGAAATATGTACGTAACTTACCCATATATACAAGACACATCAATTACAACATCAATCATGTCACAGCAAAGTTCATAAGACTGCATATCCACAGGGGAACTGTCTGTTGCAATGTAGATCTTGCTGACAACATCGAAGAGAAAAGCTTTTTCAATACCTGAATTCTTGGAAAAACAAAATGGAGGCAGTATTAGGTTTTTTTCAAGAATCACAATTTGCGACCTATGATCTTGAACTATTGATGAGCATCCAAAGACATTTTTAATGACACAACCCAATACTAAAATAACCAAATAGCAGCACTTCTGTTATCCAAAGAATAAAAGTGAAATTATTTCTCTGCTATGACTTACTGACATAATTGCATCAGTCAGTCAAATTTGTTTTTTCTTTCTCCTCTTCACTTAAATGAATTATTTTCTAAGACACCATCAAAAAAAATTAACAGAAAAAAAATCTTCCAAAAACCAAGCCACACTACATTTTCAGTAACCCTTTCTTGTTACAATAATCAATCTGATTTGAATGACCTTGCCACCGGAAGAGCTCTCTACCTGAACATTAGCAAAACATAGAAGAAATAGTTATGCATCTAGCATAACCCAAAAAGCCCAAAAGAACTCAAGGTCACTACACAGTGAGTCCTTCAAGGTAATGTTTAGAAAACTATAACGAATAAATGCTAAATTTACTGGAGGGGTATCTTATCTTTATTAAGCTGAATCCTTAAAATACATGAGTATAAAATATGATACTAAGATTAGTTAGCAGGAAAATGAAAAGATCAATTTTTCAATGTGACCTCCATTAAGACAGAGAATAAACTAAGCCAAATTCCCAAAACCCAGTCTTTTCCAGTTACTACTCTTCTTTTAGGAAACAGACAATGTGAATTTTTTTTTTTTAATCTTCACCCAAGAATATTTTTCCACTGACTTTTGTAGATACAGTGAGAGGGAAGGACGGAGAGAAACATCAATGTGAGAGAAACACACTGATTGGTTGCTTCCCACACAACCCCAACTGGGGCCAGGATCGAACCCGCAACCAAGGTTCATACCCTTAACCGGGAATCAAACCTATGACTCTTTGATCTGCAGGCCAATACTCTAATCACTGAGTCAAACCAGCCAGGGCATAAAAATATTTTTAAATTAAAAAAACATTGGGAAATTTTTCATCAATTTAAGGCAAAAAGGGTAAGTACTAAGGAAAGAATTCAGAAAATAACTCAAGCCATTTTTAATATTCTTATTTATCTGTTAAATGTGTCATTAGTCTTTCAACTTGATTCAGACAAATTCAAGCCATTTTTGGAGAATTTGGTAATACATATATTCAATGGAAATGAAATTAGAAACTATAGTGAATTAAATAGTTCACTTACTGATATAAAAATATTTAATAGGTTTTCCAAGGTCGGCAGTTGTGGAATAAGTTTCTGTACCACCTTACTAAAGGCTTCAAATATTGAATGGTCATAGATACTAGTCAAATAAAAGCTGAAAAACAACACAGTTTGATTAATTTGAAAAATCTCAAGTTTGGTGACAATTATCATATCACAATAATTTTAAGTTTCTTAACATTTGATTTCAGTAAATTCAAACAAAGCTTTTTTATCTTGTCCACCATTCCCAGAGTTCAAGATGACAATTGCAGTATTCCCCCCTGGCTGTAGCTACCCATCCCTGTGACTGCATTTACACCAAAGGCAACTGAGGAACTACCCAGGGAAGCATTTCCAGATGCAGAAACTTGAATATTCACCTACGTTCTTACAATCTGATCCAAAAAACTTGGTTTCTTAGGCTCATAACTGACAAAAATCAAAAGAAAGAAAGCTTAGAGGAGACAGGTGATATTTATCAAACAAGTATATAATTCAGGCCTCTACTAAAGTATCACCTCCTCAGAAAGTTCTTTCTTGATTCCCTACCTAAAATAGTACCTCTATACCCATTGCTTTCTATTCTCCTTTCCCTAATTTTTCTTCATAGCACTGACAAGAACTTAAAATTTCATTATACATTTATTTATAATGTGCTTTTGAGCTGTCCCCTTCATCAGAATGTAAGCTCCACAAGGACAGAGACTCTGTCAGTACAATTTGTAGCTGCAAGCCCACTGCCCTAAACAGTGCTCATAAATATTTGAATAAACAAATGAATATAACTGGGGCTTAGTATGTAAATAACATATTAGGAGGGATGGCAGCTGGGCAGGAATCCAGTAGTCTGAAAGGATGTACAGTGGAGTAACACCTATAGATTTAACAAAACACATTTGAGAGTGAGAGAGAGAAAGACAGAGGGAAAGAGAAAGATGCCTTTAACAATTTAAAGAGTGTAGACAATTCTGCCTGCTTTTTCACTCGGGATATATATAGTCATACCCATGACACATTTATAAGCACATATTACAAAGTCAGAAACACAGAACTGGGTGTATCATACTTTACAGGTAATTTAAAGGCACTTTCAAGGAGCTGACCTAAGAACTTAACCCTATACAAGATGGGGCTCTACTCCAGACGTGAGAGCAATGGAATAGGTGAGGCTAAGACGACTCCCCCAAAGGCACTAAGGACAAAGGAATATTTTAGTGTTTCCTTTAGTTAAAAAGTTAGCAGTGTAAGAAGGTCGTGCAGGGACAGTGAGGCTTGGAGGTGTATAGGGCATTTTAGAACTTGGTGTCTCTGGAAACCAGAAATCAAGTGGTGCCTCACCCATAGGCCTGCTAGTAATTATTAAAAGCTTGATGCAGAATTCTGAGGTTAACAGGCCTAGGGCCCTTAAAGTACGGGGAAGAGATAGTGTGTACCACTGGGATAGGATGCCCTGGAAAGGGTCATAGACATGGTGTAAAGAATTAGAAGAATCCCCATGGGCACTGGAGAACACAGAATAATCATGGCTTAAAATCCATTATTAACAATGGATTCCCAAAAAATATGACTGCAGAATTTCATGGAGAGACACTTTCACTTTCTCTTACAAATATTGCTACTTTTTTAAATACATGAATTACTAAATTTTTTAATCTAGGTAAACTAGAGCTCAATGAGACTTTTCTATATGATTTCCTAGAACAACAGAAAGACCTTGGAGCCTGAGGCCCTAGGTAATATTTCAGATAAAGATGGCGGTGGCTTAAGCCTATAAGGAAGTCAGTGTAACAGACAAGGGATAAGGAAATAGCTACACTTGTGTCTCTCCCCTGCTTCCCCTTTAAGCTGTTTATATCAAGAGAACATTGTCTTGGGTACTTTTTATTACTCATTTCTACCTACAACATCAAAAAACATATAAGATAATAACAATTTCTTAATGGTATTTAATTATGAATCAGTTCTTCAAACTTAATAGTAGCCCTAAGCAGATTTACTGGATAAATCCATCTAACCAAAAATTTAGAGTTTCATAAAAGCATACAATGTTTTAAAGAACATAAACAAGATACATTAGAGTCCAGATCTGAATGTATACCCTCTTTAAAAGGTTCTTCCTACTGAGAAAAATACTGTAAAAACTCAAGCTATGGAAATCTATAGCAAATGTAACAGAGAGTCCTGGAACTAGTTAAGAAGGGGAAAAAAAAAATGATGAAACCAAGAGAGGGGAGGAGTTCCATCAATTTTATGCCATGAGGAAACAGCCTGACTCGTCTCTTGGGATGAATTTGTAAAAGCACCAAACACTTCACTTGACTTCAACCTCCAGGAAAATGCAAAAAAGAGGAAAAGTAACTTCTCAATAACTTCTAAGTAACATCAGGTCCCCCAAACTGTTTGAATTCAACAAAGAAGAGATAAAAAACATTATAGATTTGAGAAAAGTACACCAGTAACAGAAAGCTATGTGTTTGTAATGACAGAGATGGGAATACATTGACACATTTTCAGGGCTTTCATATCAAACACACATGTTGTTACCTAAGGTGGAGTTTTTCTAGCCCAGCATCTGCAAGGTCATCATTGGCCCTTTGATGAATGTCTCTCTGTGTTTCTATTTTGTGATCATCAGACAGACCATCAACTTTGTGAATAAAAACCTCAAAATTCATGTCTGGATTAACTTTGTAGGCTTTAGAAACAGTAATGTGAAGTCTTGTTAAAGCCTCCATGTAGTCATCCTGTAAGTCAGAACAAAATAATTTTTAAAAAGAAATCTTATAAAAGTCAAGTAATGAGTTAAGAAAGCCTCAAAACACCTCTTTCCCCAACCACAGAAAATATATTATCTTAACTGTTCATAAATACTCAAACATTCAAATACATTAACTTATACCACTAAATAGATCTTTAATCTATCAAGATTAAAAAATTCAATTACCAAGTAAATACATATAATTTTTGAGACTGATAATATAAATGAAGGAAAAAGGAAATGGACATTTCTTCCCAATAGAATTTTAAGTAATCCCAGCTCTGCCATTTATTAGATGTGTGACTTTAAGCAGGTTGCTTAAACTCTGTGATCTATTTACTCATCCAGAAAACTGGTATTACAGTACCTATCTCACTGTATTATAAAACATATATTAAATTAGATCAGATATGTGAAAGCACCCATTACAGAGCCTGTCACTCAGAAAGCACTAACTAATGTTCAAGCTTATAAAAGGTAAGCTTCTTCAGGATAGAGACATGTCCCATTTATCTGAGAACCTGCCACTTGCTAGGCCCTCAATAAATGCTTGTTGGGCTAAACTCAATTTGGATAATTAAGGAAACTACTCACTTTAATATTCACTCAATTCTCATATTTCTCCTTATATTATGGGCACTGATGAGATATTTTCAGTGAGTGACATCATTATTGTAATAATTAATAAAGTACAGCGATATCTACTATTAACAAATAAAAGTAGAAAACTCATTAACTAGAAATCAAGGATATAAACCATATCTCCTAATCATATGGTAGAGACTCACACATGGCATACTTGCTCCCCAAAGCACCTGCACAGCTGCATCTCTTGCACTGTTAAGAGAATCTACTGGTAAAGAAATAAGCTGCAAGAAGCACATGACAAAGAAGATAAACAACTCTGCTTTGTTCCTACATCTTTTGCCACCAGAGAAGAGAAATAAATAATTATTCCTAACTACCTGTGCATCAATGACATATATCAATGCTCCTGTTCCCCTGAAGATCATCTCATAGTCAAAAGTTGGGTCAAAAAAGTCCATTTGCCCAGGAAAATCCCATATTTGGAAATTCACAAAGGAGCTATTGGAAATGTCATCTTTGTAAATCTTGTTGGTACTTTCCAAAAAGAGTGTCTCGTTGGGTGACATTTTATGAAACACCACCTGTTAAAAGAAAGACAATTTTATGACTATTCAACTTTGTATCAAAAGTTTAAAATTCTACCCTGAATTAACGTAATTAAAAGAACCTGATCCCGCAGCAAAACTTTTAAAAGAGGTAAAAAGTGAATGGTGTATCCACTGGTAGTCACTCCTTTTACTTCTGACAAAATAGAAGAAATCAAATTACTCTCCATTCAGCCTATTTTGAGATGAAACTTTTCTATTTTCTCTGCATCATCGTCAATACTAGCAGTAGCACTGTCTCTCATCTCAATTGATTTTTTTGTTATATTGTATTAATTCTGCAAAAATCTGTTGTAATATTATGAAAGCTTACAGTTAAAGGTAAAGAAGTTTTGTTCATTGAAAACATATTAGAATGCCTACATTAGGCTCCAAGGAATAGTCAGAAATGAAACTGACCGAACCCTGCCCTCACTGAGTTTGCAGTCTTGTGGAAGAAATTAAACAAAGACAGTAATTATACCAAGTGGAAAGTTCTATATGGGGGTAGAGGAGGGTTGGGAATTGACAAGGAAAAACCTAGGTGAAAGTAAACGGTAAAGGCAATTGGGTTTTATTGTTTGGTTGGTTGGTGTTTTTTGTTTTTTTTATCCTCACCCGAGGACATTTTTGCATTTATCTTCAGACAGAGCAGGAGGGAGAGAGGGGGAGAAAAACATCAATGTGAGAGACACATTAAGTAGTTGCCACCCACACGACCCCAACCCGGGCCAGGGACAAAATGCAACCGAGGTACTTGCCCTTAGTGGGAACCGAACCCAGGACTCTGCGGTCCGCGGGCCGACCCTCTAACCGCTGAACCAAACCAGCCAGGGCATGGCAATTGTTAAGAATCACAATAATCTCGCAAACCATATAACTCTAACACAAAACTAATTTGCCTCTCACTGGTACTTTCAGTAAGAGAAAAATGGACAGTCACTCCCAAGATTTAGTCAGTATTAGTAATAAGAAAAGGATTAAGATCGGTTTGCTAAAAACCTACCATAAATGTGCCCACATTTTGCTGTAGAGGTGAAAAGCAACCAATCCAGTAAATTGGAAAGACGATTACTTTTCAAAAACATTATGTCTACAAAATATCACAGAAAGGTTTATTTTGGATAAACCTTTGCAACCTAGTGGAAAGGGCAAAAGAGCAGGTGTCTGGCGTTGAATGACCAGGTCAACGGTGCCTCTACACTCTCATTGCGAAAAAGTACAGAGCCCTCCATTCGGTCCTGACAGACTCCACGTGAAAGCAAATGGACGGACATAGGTCTGCAATTATTCTTAAGGTCTCCGAAGATTTCTGTTCACTCAGGGGTAATATCACCAGCAATTATACTCGCCAAGCCACAAGTACTAAGATAAGCGGAGTAATAGCCCCCAATAATGTTACAGTAAAATCTCCTTCGTGTTTGTAACATGAACAAGCATTAAAATCGCCAGTGACTTAGTCACAACGCTTCCTGACGTTGTTCCCTGGGGCTCACCTGGGAAGCCCTGCAAACTCAGGTCACCTGAAGTGAGTGGAACACACAAAGACGGGGCAGGGGAGGGAGTCGGTGAAGTTCTCCAAGCTAGAACTGGGCAGGAGGTCAGTTTCGTGAAAGGCACGGGGGCTGTTTCCCAGGAGGCGGAGGTCTCGGGCGGTGCCTCGGGCACCTGCCTCCCGCCAGCCAGTTTCGCCTTCGGAGACCCACTCGGCCTCAGCTGACTTGGGCGTGGACTCAGAGGTCGGGGTCCCTGCACAGGGCCGCGCCTCGGGCTCCGCTCCTCAGAGGAGAGAAGTGTAGTGGGACAGCCCGGCCGGCCAGCCCCAGCCGCCGCCCTCCTCGGGGGGCCTCTCCCGCCCGGCGGCCACCCGAGCCCCTGGGGAGGGGCGGAGGGACGCGGCGCGGCCCCACTCACCTTCTGGATGGAGGACTTTCCGCTGCGCCGGAGCCCCATGAGCAGAATCCTCGGCTTGGAGCTGTCAGCGCCCCCCGGGCCACAGCCTCCGCCGGCCCCCGCCCCAACCCCGCCGCCGGCGGCTGCCGCCTCCTCTTCCTCCTCCTCCACGCCGTAGCCGAAGTCCTTTGGGAACGAATCTGCCGCTCCGTAACTGCCGGCGAGGGGCGTCTCCTCCGCCCCGTACTGCAGGGACATGGTGCTAGAGCCGCCGCCACCCGCGCCCTGACAGGCCAGGCCAGGCCAAGCCAGGCCGCCGCCTCCCCAGTTCACCACCTCCGCCACCGCCCCCGGCAGCCGCCACCGCCGTGCGGCCCGCCCCCCGGAGCCCGGCTCTCATTGGCTCCGCTCCGAGGCCAGCCGCTCACTGGCTATACTAGCTGCCATTCGGGAGCAGCAGGGTAGGTGGTACCCGTCACGTGCCCGGAATCACCTGACTCGGAACCGAGGAGGGGGGAGGAGGAGTCACGAGGAGGGTGGCCCCGCCGAGCCGAGCCCTGTGCTCTCCGCCCCAGCCCGCACCTCTGTCCTCCCCAGCCACGCACATTGTTTCTCACCACTCTCCTGACTTCCTCGGAGTTCCGGAGACCATGCGACGGAAGATGCTCTCTGGGCATTTGGAAGAATTGATTGTCCTCCCAGTATAATTGTACTCGCCCAAACCGACATTTATTGATGGCTACGAAGTCCTGGGGCACAAAACTGGAAGCGACCGGGACCCTGCCTGCCCTCCAGTTCGAAGATTAATAGCGTAAGTAGCTTCGGTATGAGATACGAGTGGGAAGGTCAAAGATACAGATAATGATGCTCGGCAGTTGAGAGGGTGAGAAAGTCTACAAGGAGCTGTTGTCTGAAGTGGTCTATGGTTGAATGGATGGATATGGTTGGGAAATGCAAAGGTATGGAGGAGCCAGCCAGAGTGAGGGCAAAACCTCAAACAAGGTAGTCCTGAGTGTGGTAGATAGTTCGTTCTGGCAGGTAGAACATCTTTCTTCAGCAAATCGCTGACGGAGGATACTGCTGCCACTTCAAACTCAACATGACTCAGTTTCTCTCCTTCCCACCTCATCAACGTCTACTCCGGTAATTCCACCACCACCCCTCGCCCCCAAGAATAAACAAACAGTGAAAGCAAATCAGAATGCTTGTCACCAAATTTGAGAATGCTAAAGGAATTTTCACCCTTGACAGCCAGGTTTTAAAACTGGAAATTTGACCAAAGAGAATCTTCCTCTTAAAGTGGGGGTAGTACTGTTATGAAGGAAAAGTATGTTCATGTAGGTCTGGGACTTAGTTATGTCTGCATCTAGAAATTAAAGGTAGGACACATCCTTAGAGAGCTAATCCAACCTTTCACCTAAAGAGGATCCACTATACAGCATCTGATAGACATACGGCATACATTTCAATAGTCCCAAAGGAGAGAGTTCACTCTCTCAAAAGGGAGCCAATTCCACTGTAGTAAAACTTTAAAAGTTTCTTATTCCGGCCAAATATTACACTCCCTGGAGCTTATAATTGAACAACACAGTAGTCTGCTCTCTCATGGCAGCCCTAGATTGCAGTCTTCATTTTCCACTAAATCTTTTTTGCTCCACATTAATCATACTGTTCCTTCAACCATTCCTTCTACAGTGATTAGAACATTCGGTGGTGACAGAATTGTTCAACAACTGTACTGGTCAGTATAGTAGCCAATGTGGATTGAGCACTTGAAATGTTGCTAGTGTGACTAGGGAACTGAATTTTGAATTTTATTATTTTAAATGCCAAATGTGGCTATAACTACCATATTAAACATCATAGTCTTGTATTTTCAAATGCCTTCTCTCTATTGGTCACTCTCCTTTATATGCATTTGAGCTTGTCAGCATCCATTAACTGTCTGGCACCTACAATGCAATACTGATCAGTACAGCCTTCAGGGTAACTGTTTAGCACCTGTACAGTATTTATATTAATGCTTTCCAGAATGGATTTTTAAAAAATATTTATAAAGTACAAGTGGTCCCTACTGATAATCACTGGAACTAGTATTTTGTCATCAATTCTATTGCCTAAACTTGTTTAACTACAGTTTTTAACCTAAATAAAAAGCTTGCTATTTCAGCTTTCTGGTTTAGGCCAAGAAGTTTGGGTATTCGAAGTTGTTAAGCTTTTAGTCTGCCAACCAGCCCTTCCAACTTTGTGGCACTTACATATTTGGCATTACTACCATCTAACCTATATGTAGTCCTTTATAATTTGCAAGGTACTTTTCATCCACTATATTTAATTTGATCCTTCAACAACCTTGTGAGGTAAGCAAGATATGAAATCTACATTTTATAGATAAGTTAGCTGAAGCATAGCAGGAACTGAATGGATGGGATCCTTTTTCTATTCCATTGAGCCTCTTCTTGTATGCTGTCTTCATCCAAATCCTTAATAGAAATGTTGAAGAGGACCTCCAGAGGACAGGCTGATCCTGAATTCTTAAATAGTACTGACTGGTACAATAGTTTAGCAGGTCATTTCCACCAAAGTGTGATTATTCAACCCACAGATTGCCATTCTGTCCAAAAGGATGGTACAAGACACAGCCATCTGATTTACATAAATATTAATACTAGTCCCAAGGGGAAAAAGCAGATGAGAGGTAGCTGCCAGAAAAATAATCTCTACTTGTCTATATCTACAAGGGGACTATCATACCAACTGCTTAAAGAAGCCAAGTCTCCCTCTCTTCCAAAACCCTCATGGGGCCATATTTTTTTATGATGATGATTCTTAGCACATCCTAGCCCACATTGTAATTGCTTATATACATGTCTTATATCTAATTTCAAGTCATTCATCTTTATAACACCCAGCCCACTGCTGTCCATGTAGGAGGCACTCAGATTGGTAAAAGATAAACCAATTCAAGTGAATGTTCTTCCAACAGTTATCTGGCCCCCCTCCAAACACAAACTTGTGACTAGAGGAGGCATAGACCACTGCCACATTGCTACCAACGTGACTGATTAAAATGCCCTCATAATTGACTTAGTCAATTTCTAGCAGGTACTGAGACTTTTGCTAATTAAATCAGCTTTCAGTGGATTGTTTTGTTTTCTGTGTTTTGACCAAAAAATAAAGACAGACAGATACTCTAACAATCGGGATAGGATACATGAAATAAGACTACTTCTTAATCACGTCAATTAGGAGGGAAAATAAATGATCAAGAAAACAGAGGCCCTGGCCGGGTAGTGCAGTTGGTTAAAGCATTATTGCGATATGCCAAGTTGTGGGTTCAGTCCTTGGTCAAGAATTAGCCAATGAATGTATAAATAAATGGAACAACAAATTGATGTTTCTCTCCCCCCCACTTGCTCTCTCTCTAAAATCAGTTTGTTTGTTTTTTAAATCTGCCTGTAGGTCTTCCAAAAGAAAGGAAAAAGGACTAGCAAACAAGGATATAGTGCTTTACCATTTACAAATCTTTCACATACATTCCATTTGACCCTCACAACAACCCTGTGAGGTAGGCAGCACAGATATTATTCTTCTCATTTGACAGATGAGGAAAGTGAATCTCAGAGTGGTTAATTGATGTGCCGAAGGTTCTACAGTTAGTAAATAATCTGTACTGATATCAGTCTTTGGCCTAAAAATTCAGCACCCAACCTCCCCTCATACTTGCCCTACCTACTTCACAGGGATAATGAAGATAAAATGAATTCAAGGCTAAAAAAATACTTTGAGAGAAAAAGCACTATATAATTATACCCGCAAACTATAATTTTCCACGATATATGGCTCATTCCCCTTCTCATCCCAGCTTGTGCATGAACGCAGAATTTTATATTGCCTCTCTTCTGTGCTCAACTGAGCACCTAAGTAAGTCAGAGGAACAGTGTGATCCTGTTTAAAGTTAGTAAGTCACAACAGGGTAACTGCTATTATAGCAAATTGAAAATCAACACAGAAAGGCCATTGTGCAAGTAGGACCCAGTGAAGCACAGATCAAGCAAGGCAACATTATCAAATAGGGCATGAATGCATAGAAGGAAAACGTGGTGTCAGAGTTCAAACTGGCACACACACAGTTATCTAAGGCAAAGTGGTGGCAAAGAAGAGTTATTTGTTCTGCATTATATAAATGAGCAAAAGATTCATGGGAACCCATGCAAAAGCATTTCATGTCACACAGATCTCTCCAGCTGCCTGCGGAGAATATAAACTGTCTTCTTCATTTTAAAGAATGACTGTACCTGTGCTCATGTCCTGAACTAAACCAAGGAACAGTGTCATGCTAACCTTCCTTGGCTAAAATACAACCAGTACCCCATCATTCCTAGTCAGACTAGTAAACAGAATGTCTTTTAAGGTAATGAATTAGATGGCTGTGTTTAGATTTTTTTCAGGATTCATTTTAGATTCTCCTGCTTTTAAGACCCAAAGAAAGTTATATTGAGTTTTTATTGGTGATTCTAAGAATATGTGTTTATAACAATTAAAGTGTGATAGGTGACTTTAACATATTAAAAGAGTTTTATAGCATCTGTTCAGAAAAGATTATATACTATACAAACTATTCAAGTCTTACAAAACCATTTTTCAGTGTCTTTTCAACTGAGAAGAATCCTATTCAGCACGCTTCTCCTCCTGAGGTGGTTCATACTGAGCAAGCTATAGGGCAAAGACAGAGGAGTTTAGGTGAATTTTATTCTAAATTGGATAAAAAAACTTAATAGTAACAAAACGAATTAACTAGTATATTCAATTTATTTACTGAATCAGCAAGTTTATATGTTTAAATCATTCAATGATTTAAGATTTAATACAATCATACCTAATGAAGGCTTTTTATATAAATCTTTAATATTACTAGAAAACTAAAATTCAATTCCAATTTATGGCTACACTGCTAAAACACTTGATATGCAATAATCTATATCTTTCCAAAGATGTTGTGGTTTATAATAAGGTATTTTCTTCCCCTCCACCAAAAGTTTCCCCTTCACTGAACTTTCTCCTAAAAAGTAGAAAAAGCAAATTATGTGACCTATGAATCTAGCCAGTCAGTACAGGTGCTAATGTCTTTGATTTAAAAGGTACCCAAGAGGTCACTGGTATTTGCACATTGTGGAATCTTGGTAATTTAAAATACTGCATTTTCTTTTATGCCAAGAACACTAGGCTAAGATTTGTTCCATTTAGCTGTCAGATTGGAGAAGCTACACTTCACTGTGCTCTAGTTTCCTCACCTGTGTACCTGTTTCACTCATCTCGCAAAGTTATTGAGAAAATAAAACACATTATGAGAAATTCCTAGAGTAATGTAAAATGCATTATGTGAATCGCAATGTGGTGAAAACTCAAGGACTTAGAGTGACTAATTTGAAATATATGAAAATTCTCACAGGAGCTTAAAGAAAAAACTTCAACACTGGACAATATTAAGTACAAACAAATTTACAGGGGTACACTAACACATTACAGGGCCACCACATGACTAGTTGTTTGTGCACTGCACAACTCTAAAAGGTGCCATTCACTAAGCAACTTAAATCAACTGCTTAAGACTCTCAGAAATCTCCATATACTTTTGGAAGTCTCATTAGTGATATTCTCATCTTTTTGTTGATCAGGTTCCCAAGAACCTCTTCTTGACCACACTTTGCTTGTCCTATTTATAATATGTCTATGATTTTCTAGACAGGGCATCAGTTTGGCCTTGCAATTAATTGAGATTGATATTCGCCCTTCTCCCTCCCCTACTATCCACTTTAGTGAGGTTTTGGTCATATTAATATTATTGACATGAATTTTTTAATTATTAATAGGTGAAATGATTAACTAAAGGTGAAATTATTAACATGAATCCTTTTTTAAAATTTACCTTTGTTTTCAGTTTTTTATTTTCTTCTACAATAGCTTCATATTTCTCTTTCATTTCTGCCAATTCTAGGCGAAGCAGCTCTATTTCTGGATTTTCTGGGGTAGCAGCTCCTAAGTGATGCTTTAAAAAACTAATCTCAAAGTTAAGAATTTACTTGAACTGAATCAAAGTATTGAAATAGCCCAGAGTAGCATCTCTGATCATTCATCCCACCCCACCACCCATATTTACCCAAAGATCATCATCCAAAAACTCAAGGGAAAGTAACTTTTTCAATAAACAAAAATATTTAAAGGTTAACTATGTGAAAAAAAATAAGGCCTTTTTCTGACTTGAAAGATGAAAAGGATACTCCAAAGCACTATTAGGTTTCTCGGGTTCTTCATATAAGGCTACCAATACTGCAAATCAAAAAGCAGAAAAAGCAACAATTAAAAGTCTGAAATTTGAATGGCTGAAAGTATAGTCTATAACTCAGTACATATTAAGTGCCTATAATATGTCAAGCACATTGCTAGAATTGTCCATACCACGGTGAATAAGACAGAAAAGGTCCCTGCTGTCAGTGAATTTACAGTCTAGTGCAAAAGATAAGCAAGTAACTAGACACAAAAAGAGACTCAAGAGACAATCAGGATAACAACAGGTTATGGAAGCATATTGGAAGAATACTTAACTCTAGGGTACCAGGGAAGGCTTCCTAAAGGAAGGGAAATAAGATCTGATGAGATCTAGGTGATGAGAGTTGCAGATAAAATGGGAAGGGCAGGGAGCAAGCAAACAACATGCTGAGAAACAGAAATTCAAGTGTGGCTAGACAGAGTTGTGAACAATGTGGCAGAAGTATCCACTGTCACTGACTTGCTGAAGAAGCTAGAAGGGAGTGGGAGGCAGACTAGATCCTGCAAGTTGGATTAGGCTTTGATCCTAAGAACAACAGACACATAAACATTTTAAGTAGGAGGGTGACAGGATCACTTTACTGCTATGTGGAAAATCAACAGGTGGAACAAGAATAAAGGTAGGAAGAGCAGTTAAGAGGCTGATGTGGTAATCCTGTTGGCAAAGATAGTGACCTGCACCAGAGTGATAAAGGGGTGGAAAAAAAGTACATAAATTTGAGAAAAATTTAGGAGAGACTCAACATGGCTTTGGTAGTTACTGAAAAATTCTGAATCAAAAATGTTCTTCAAGAATGAAGTTCCATACGTAACATGCCAAATAACCACCAACCAAAAACTTTACCAGTAATCAACATGCTCAAATCAACATTAAAATATACTTCTGTGTTTTCATATCCAATAGCTCATACCAGCACTACATTGCTCATCTTCTATTGAACAAATTCCTATTAGGATTTACAACTCTGTTAAAAACCTCTCTAAACCTGTGAATAACTTTTTTGTGCATGGAACCCTTTGAAAAATCTGATAAAAACCCAAAAATGTAACTACACACACAAAAAAATGTGCTTATCTAGATCCCAAGTCAAGGACTTCTATTGTAAATCAACTTAAATGCTTCCATTTTATTTTTTGGGGTTTTAATAACATCAAAATAACATAGTATGGAAAAACGTAAATGGGAAACTAGTTAACTCTTCAAGAAATTGATATATTACATTGCTACTATCCTCTCCTCAACCCCCTTTCAATATGTTACAGTACCCTTTAATTCCTCTTTAAATTATATACTCAAACTTATTTCTTCCATTAATTTTCACTGATCTCTACGAGTCTTAATTTTATATAAAACATGAATACTCTTATCCTTTCTTCCTCTTCTTCCCCTGTTTCATTTCTTTCAACTTCTAATTTCTGTCAGTGGTACTTACAAGATTGATAATTACATAACATAATGTAAATGTCTAGTTTTCTGTGCTTTTCTGTAGGTAGAATATACTTCCTTTTAATCAGACAAGAAAAACTCTATACCTGATGCTCCCTTTTTTGCCTTAGCACCTCAAAATAACTAAAATGCTGCTTCTTCCAAATGACTTAACATCTTTATCTTTAGCCATCCTGTCTTTTAGTGTTTTTATGTTAGAAGCAGTTTCAAATCCTCTTGGAAATAAGCTAGATAAAAATTAGAAATTAAATCTATGTAAAATAAAGTACCTATGTTTGAAGATGAAAGTCAAATTTGAAATAGATCACATCGGTAGCTAGTACGTATGTTAAGTTGTCTGATGTTATTGAGTAAACTGGAAATGTAGGGAGGTTGAGGGGGTTAAATACCAGTAGATGTGAGCCAGAGAAAAGAAGCTGCCACTGGTTTCTAATATCTCACAAAGGAAAATCCATGTGTGGCCGCAAGTCTGTACATCTTCAGTCACCTCCCACAAGGGTCATTTCTCTGCCTTTTACCATACCAGCTTTCACTCACTCCATCCATCCACTCTGGCCTCTTTATACTTCCTGGAACTCTTGGCATCAGATACTATTTCATTCAGGTCTCTGCTCAAATGTTACTATGTAACAGAGGCCTCCCCCACCCACCCACCCTACATAAAATGCCATACCCATCTGGCTTTATCCATTACTGTGCTATATTTTAATACCACTAACTGACATTGTATTTATTATGTCTCCCCGACTAGCTCATTTAGAGTGGTTTTTTGTTTGTTTTCCACTGCTATCCTGTGCCCAGAACACAGACCTGAATAAAATCGTTAAATAAATGAAAGAAATGAACTTGTGGAGTTTTTTGAGGGGAGAGGGCCTCCAAGAATCTGCAACACTTCCACAAACAACAGAGGACAAGGCTTTCATAGAGTAGTTCCTTAATGTTTGCTGAAATTTATTTGCAAAGAGGCAGGGAAATGATTTGTACCTGAACCGCGCCCAGGGTATGTAGAAATCAAAACTACCAGTCCATACTTGAGAAGGCCCTGCTTTCTGCTAAGATACAGAGTTTTTATTCTCTTAGAATTTTCTCCTAACCTTTGCTTCTGGACAAAGAGCACTAACCAAATTATTCCCTAGACACTTATTGTTCTTCTCATTTGGACCCAAGTCCTCATTCTGCCAGCTCTTCTACACCCTTGAAAGTGAATTGAGTGATACATAACAAGCATTCAAATTACTGCTGAGCTAATGAAATAAGCAGTATCTATCTCTTGAAACCCTCCAACTTCAAGCACCCTCACTTGGATCTTGAACGCAAAGGAAGAGACACAGTGTAACAGCTTCCATTTCAAAAAGTGAAAACAATATAACCATTTCGATGTGCTCTCAAGCTACTTAAACTGTAATTCTACTCGAATTGTGAAATCTGCACAGCGTATGAGCTAATATGGACCAGGAAACGAGGGGTGAAAAGCCACAGCCTAACTGACTATGAATCACCTACTTTGGGCATTAAGCTCACTTAGCTACTTCATAGCGTACTTTCAAATGTGGAAAAGTCCCCACTTTGTTCGAGGTTAAATGTTTCTTAGCAAGATTTTGAGGACTCCGCAGAAACTGTAAGGCGGGAGGAATTGGGATCTCAAGGTCTTTAGCAAACATGCCCACTGCGGCTGCTCGAGGCAAAGCAACGGAAGTTGAAGAGACTTTGCAACAGCTGCAAGAGTTTCACCCCCGGCCGGGAGAGTGGTAGTGAGCTAGGCAACCCGACCCCGGCCCGGCCGCCGTCCGGCAGCCGAGCGTGCGCCGAGCCCGAGGCCCACCCCGCAGGGCCCCGCACGGGTCCCACCTGTGCCCCCTCCTTCCCCACGCCACGAACTGTCAGGGGCGCAGCCCCAAGTAGCACGAGGAGAACACGAGGAACCCTCTCCTAGCCCATACTCACCCTTGGTCAGCGTGTCCAGCACTCCTGACTTCTCCAAGTACCTCCGGAACTGCTCGCGCTTCGAGTCGGCGGCCTGAGGAGACACGGCGGGTCAGTGGCCGAGATCCGGGGGCCGGAGCAGGAAGAAGGCTCTGGGAGTCCGGCAAACCCCGCCTCCGCATCGCTACCTCAGGCCCCCCCAAAACCTGCTCGCACGCCCCCACTCCCACCCGGAGCCGACCAAACGGCTGGCCACCGCCCGCACGCCCCCAGCCACGCCGCCGCGCCCCCCTCACTTTGTAATGGGCCATAGTGACAGCGGCAGCGGCGTAGCTGGCGCCGGAGACCGTGGCTGGCGGGCTCTGAGCAACACTGCACATGCGCGGAAGGGCGCGCGCGCCTGCGTACTTGCGAACCACGGTCCGGAGAGGCCGGGGTGTGGCCTGTTTTCATGGCGACCAGGACGCTCTGAGTGCCCCACGGTGGGCTGAGCCGAGGGAGTCTGCGTACGCCCGCCCATCTAGCTATCTGGACTGCACTCCTTTCCCTCTTCCGGTCCCTACAGCGATTCGGTTGCTTCGGGACAAGCGAGGTTTCGGTAACTCTGGACTGGCGTCCTTGTGGGGCCAAAGACGGGCGTGGCGCCTGGGGGTGGAGCCTGCGTAGCCCGGGAGCAACCGGGGGAAGAATCTCCTGACACCGATAGTGGGCGGACCTGCCTCAACTGGGACCTCGGAGCCCGTGGCAACTTTTAAGTATGTGCTGGCTCCTTGGCTCTCATCCTAAAAAAGTGCCCACGACTGACGCAGGGCGAACCTTGGATTTCCAGTGGCTTGAGGAGTGTGTTTAGAATAGTATGTTTGTTCTGGCTTCTACGTTTGCAGTTTCCTTGTTTTGTGGCCGACTTGATGTGGGCCTGTGGAGGGTGAGCAGAAACATGTAAGAGCTAACACTTGTGATCGCTTATTGTGTGCCAGGCACTGTATTAAACACGTGTATTTCTTATTTTAATCTTTACACTATATCTGTAAGGTAGATACTGACACTAAAGTGGTGAGGTTAGGTGACCAGTTAGTGGAGCCAAAACTTTAGTCTGAGCATTGAATCACGATGCCATAAACTGGTCAAAGAAAGCCACAAATGTTTTTAACAATTTATTTACTGGGTAACAGCATTATGGTTATACTCACGACACATTAGGTTGCAGTCTATAAGGAAACTAAAGTCCCAGGAGCAAACAGAATTTAACCAGTGTCCACAAATAAAAGATAAGTAACTAAAAGGAGGAATTATGCACATCAAGAACAATCTCCAAAGGACTGTGGTCCCTTCAAGGAAAAACCTGGTTGCCATCCATTTAGCCTCAATTCTGAACATGTGATTTCCCCAAACACAGTTTTCACAAATTCTGAAGTGTGTGGGTGAAAAGTAACTCCAATTTGATAACTCTATGTAATTGTTTTCAAAACTACCCCTTCACTGTTCAAAATTAGAGCTGTTTCTAAAATGGGTTTGCACTTGTCCATCTTAACACCTGGTCTTAAAGCTACCTTCATCTGTTTTGTCTGTGTTCTGCTATCAGTAGGCTACTTCTGTGATCATATAATATGCAGAATGTCTAAAAGCCAACTGTTCAGATCTGAAGGTCTGTGGTAGCCCGCCTACTAATAAGATCATTTGTCAGCAACACTAATTGATTTTGAGGACAAGCAGTAGGATTATTGCAGGTTCTGACCAACTCAGATCCAAAGGACAACTCTCCAAAAGAATTAGGAGTGTCTGGAATGTCAGGTGGTTGGAATTCTTCTAAAGGAGAAAGGGTTCTGATTGTGCCTTCTCTGGACCGGCCCTTGAGGTTAGCGTTGGGAGGTGACACCCAGTTTTCATCTCCTGTAGAGGGACTCCAGGTAGCACGAAGCCACCTTGGTTTCCAGATGCAGTTAGCTGGCAGAGAGAAAGCTGTTTGGGGTGACTGCCCCATGTGGCTGTCCAGATCTATAGCAACACCTGGAATAGAACAGTGACCTGTAGGGTACTGGTTCCTTTTGCTGTTTTTGCCATCAATTTCTCTTTTTTTCCTTAACTGGTTTCCATTAACGTCTTTTGCAGATATTTTATGACTGTTTTCATTAGTACTTGAGCCAATGCATTGAATACAACTACAGGTAGTACTAAGTGTGCACATCTCATCAGACAGTACAGTTTCCTGTTCATCCAAAATGCATTTCTCATCATTTCTATTGTGATTGTCAGGATATGCCTGATGTACAGGGGAATTTAAACCAGGATACACTGTTGTGTGTGTTGGCTTTTCCACTATCAGATTATAATCAGGTGCAGAAGAGAATCGCTTCAGTGAGTTTGCAGCTGTGATCTGATATTTGGTAAGATTTTGTTTTGACCTGTTCGAATAGAATTCATTTTTATGCTCGTCCTCCCATTTATATTGTCCCCAAAGCCCTCTTTTAATCTTTTTGAAGCCTAGGTGGAAAATTTCTAGAACATTTAAGAAAAGTGAAACAGTGGCTATGGATTGCATAAATAATAGGAATGTTGTCTTTTCTGTAGGTCTTGAAACAAAACAATCAATTATATTTGGACATGGGTAGCCATGGCATTTAAATAGTGGCTCTAAATGAAATCCATATAAAAGATACTGTCCAATCATGAACCCAACTTCAACTACAGAGCGAGCGAAAATGTGTATCACGTAAGTGCAAAGCAGAGTTCCCCGGAGTGGAGCTTTATTAAATTTCCTTTGTGCCAGCTGACAAAGTTCTTGCTCCAGTCTCCTTCGATCCTCAGACATTTCAAACTCTATCCCCTTCAGTTCTCCTCTCAGTTGAACTTTCTCCCTCTGCCTCTCTTTCTCCAGGACTCTCAGTCGGTACAAAGCATGGCCCATGTAAACCAGGGATGGTGAAGACACAAAAATCACCTGCAGGACCCAGTATCTAATGAGGGAGATAGGAAAAGCTTGGTCATAGCATACATTCCTGCAGCCAGGTTGTTCTGTATTACAAATGAAGCCAGACTGCTCATCATTCCAGACATTTTCAGCTGCTACACCCAAAACAAGCATACGAAATATGAACAGGGTGGTGAGCCAGATCTTTCCAATCATGGTGGAGTGGATGTGAACTTCCTCCAGAATGCCTCCAAGGAAATTCCAGTCCCCCATGTTTATTTAGTCCGCCATCTTAGCTCTGAACCCCATCAACTAGGAGGCAGATAAATTCTTCCATTCTGACGGCGTGCTATTCCTTAAAGCAGACCTATGGCCAAAATATGAACAAAGCATCACTCTATCCATGTGCTAGTTGTTTACTTTTTCCCTAGAGAGGTGTGATAATCTGTTACCAAGAATATATTAAAGATATTAGGACTTGCCCTGGCCGGTTTCGCTCAGCGGTTAGAGTGTTGGCCTGTGGTCCGGAGAGATCCAGGTTCGGTTCCCGCTAAGGACGCATACCTCGGTTGCAGTTTGTCCTCAGCCCTGGTTGGTCATGCGGGTCGCAACCACTTGATGTGTCCCTTTCACATCAATGTTTCTCTCTCTCTCTCTTCCTCTCTCTCCCTCCCACTCTGTCTGAACAAAAAATGGAAAAATGTCCTCAGGTGAGGATAAAAAAATATGTATATTAAAAAAAAAAAAAAGATATTAGGACTTTAAGTTCACGTATGTTGCCCTGGCCGGTTTGGCTCAGCAGTTGGAGAGTGGGCCTGCGGACCAGAGAGTCTGGGGTTCAGTTCCTGCTAGGGGCACGTATAAAAAATAAATAAAAAGACCCTGGCCGGTTTGGCTTAGTGGTTAGAGCGTCAGCCTGTGGTCCTGAGAGACCCGGGTTCGGTTCCCGCTAAGGGCATGTACCTCAGTTGCAGTTTGTCCCTGGCCCTGGTTGGGTCATGCGAGTGGCAGCCACTCGATGCGTCGTCCCTTTCACATCGCTGTTTCTCTCGCTCTTCCTCTCTTTCCCTTCCACTGTATATGAACAAAAAATAAAAAATAAATTTAAAAAAAGGAAAAATGTCCTCAGGTGAGAATTAAAAAAATAAGTAAATAAATAAATTCACTTATGTTTAGGACCTCATAATGCAATGAAAAACAAAAACATGATACTGCGGAAGGGTGTATATAATCTCTATGAAGAATAGAATTGTAGGACTTCATAAGAAAGGAGTCTTCTTACTTAGCTGAAGTTTGTTGTTTTATTTTTTTAAACTCAGAGCTTTTTTTTTTATCCTCACCCAAGGACATTTTTTGCATTTTTCTTCAGATAGAGTGGGAGGGAGAGAGAGAAACATCGATGTGAAAGAAACACACCGAGTGGTTGCCACCCACACGACCCCAACCAGGGCCAGGAACAAATTGCAACTGAGGTACATGCCCTTAGTGGGAACCGAACCCAGGACTCTCTGGTCCACAGGCCAACGCTCTAACTGCTGAGCCAGACTGGCCAGGGCTAAACTCAGAGCTTTTGAAGAGGTTCCTAAAACTACTGATTTGATCTTACAAATCTAGCCCTGGCCTGTTTGGCTCAGTGGTTGAGCATCGGCTTGCCGACCAGAGAGTCCCGGGTTCGGTTACCACTAGGGGCACGTACCACCAAAAAAAAAAAAAAAATGCAAATCTATTAAGATTATTTTATATAAAAGTTATAACCAAAGTCAGTGATTTTTAAATCTCATTTATACACAAAGGAAAATGAATGTGTCTCATTTCACAATTCAGTAAGATACAGAATTTAATGAAATCAGAGGAAATAGATCTGGCTCTTGCTATGGGGATTTAGACTAGTTTTTTAAATCCATATTTAAATGTCTAAATTCTGGTTTCTTTACTTTTTTTTTCTTTATTGATTTTAGAAAGAGAGGAAGGGAGAGAGAGAACATCTACTGGCTGCCTCCTGCATGATCCCCACTGGGGATCTGGCCCACAACCTGGGCATGTACCCTGACCGGGAATCGAACCAGCAACCTCTTGCTGCAGGGGTCGACACTCAACCACTGAGCCACACTGGCCAGGCTAAATTCTGGTTTCTTTATGGCAGTTTTTGAACTTTTTTAGAAGTCATTTCAGTAGTATATTTATGACTATTCATAAAACCTTTATTATATTTTGCTATGAAAAATACTGTAAATTTTTTTTTTTTTTGGTACGTGCCCCTAGCAGGAACTGAACCCAGGACTCTCTCGTCCACAGGCCAATGCTCTAACCACTGAGCAAAACCGGCCAGGACAAAATATACTGTAAATTTTTATCATCTTAAAATTAACTCCAAATCTCAACTATTTTGTACTACCAGGATATTATTAGATATTACTTGAAATAAATAGAACATTGGTATGGTGATGATATTGAGACAGACCAGTAAGCCAGGACAAGTGCAATAGGGAAACTGAGGCAGATAGCTGAACAAACTGACAGAGCAATTTACAGCAGACACAGAAGGTCACTTCCCTAGAAATAACATCTAGGCCTCAGTTGTAGTTCAGCTCCAGACCCAGAAGAGCAGCAAAACCAGGTAGACAACACCAAGATCAGCTGTATTAACTAACAACCCCCTGCCCTGACACTGGCCAATCAGTGAGAACCACGACCCTGAAGGAGCACACCTAGAAAACTGATGAATACTCTGCTGAAACTCTCCCAAGACCTCCCCTAAGATTCCCGCCTGCAAGACAGAAATAAAAGCCTCAAGACAAAGGACCCAGCATGCGCTCTCCCTCCCAGGAGCACACCTGCACCCCCCTTTCGCTCTACCCCCCCAGCCAAGCATCTCTTAGACTCTAAGGGACCCCACTAGACTTGCAACTAGGGCAGCAATGGGCAGTGTCATTCATCCCAGGCAAACCCCCTGAGCCTGTCCTCAAGGCCCCCTTTTCTCGGACTTCTTAGTGAGCCGAAGCAGACCAGCCTAAGCCTTTCCCCAGTCCTTTCTTGTTTCAGTGTCCCCAGCTTTAATAAACATCCTCTAAAATTCACCTGGACTTGCATTGTGAAATTTTTCCTGCACAAAGTCAAGAATCTACAGGTTACCAGCCTGGCCCTAGGCAAGACCTGCTCAGGACCAGGTCCCCTTTCCTGTAACATTATTATAGAAATTTTCATTGTAACAGTTATTTGACCTATTTAAGACAGGTAGCTTGGCACAGCCAGTGTGGCTTAGTGGTTGAACATGGACCCATGCACCAAAAGGTCACTGGTTTGATTCCTGGTCAGGGCACATGCCCAGGTTTGGGGCCTGATCCCCAGTGGGGGACATGCAGGAGGTGGCCAGTTGATGTTCTGTCTCATTGGTGTTTCTCTCTCTCCCTCTCCCTCCCTCCCTAAAAATCGATAAAGAGAGAAAAAAAAAATAAGACACGTAGCTTACTTTTGTGAAGGGAACAGTGGGACAAAATATAATTTACATGCTTGGATTATCAGCCAGTAGGTTTTATATTAAGGTTGGTATCCTAGGATATCAAAGAGGAAATATATCCCAAAGGAAAGAAAAAAGAATGTTTTCATTCACTTTCATTTAAAATATAAATGTATGTCCCATATCCCTTACAGAAAGGGAAATGTTACACAGTCAAACAACATACTATAGCTACAAGATACCTTCATCACAAAAAACCCTGTGAGGTAGGTATGTTGCTTCCCTATTTACAGTGAGGAAACTGAGGCACACCTTAAATTATCTAAGGTCACAGCTAAAACTGGAATTCAAATTCAATCAATGTAATTCTAAAGTCAGCTCTTAACTGTTTTCATTAAACTGTTATTTTTTTCTCTTTAAGCATATTTATGAAATTTGCCTGAAAGAGAAATTAAGAAATCACCTCTTTTCTCCTAAAAGTTTAATTATTTAAATAGTGATAGTTTTGACTTTTTAAATAACTGGTTAGAGCCTTTTTTTTTTAATCCTCACCTGAGGACATTTTTTTTTCCGATATTTTGTTCAGGTAGAGTGGGAGGGAGAGAGAGAGAAAGAGAGAGAGAGAGAGAAACATTGACGTGAAAGGGACACATGACCCAACCAGGGCTGGGGACAAACTGCAACCAAAGTACGTGCCCTTGGTGGGAACCGAACCCGGGTCTCTCTCTGGACCGCAGGCCGACGCTCTAACCGCTGAGCCAAAATGGCCAGGGCTGGTTAGAGCCTTTCTGAAAGCTTTATGCAGTTAAAAAAACAATAACAACTTGAGCTCTGGCCAGTTTTGCTCGGTGGTTAGAGCATTGGCTCATGGACCAGAGAGTCACGGGTTCGATTCCAGTCAAGGGCACATACCTCGGTTGCAGTTCGGTCCCCAGCCCTGGTTGGGGTAGTGCTGGAGACAACCAATAGATGTCTCTCTCTCATACTGATGTTTCTCTCTCTCGCTCCCTCCCTCCTTCCCAGTCTATCTGATGATAAATGAAAAAATATCCTCAGGTGAGGATTAAAAACAAAAAAATTGAAACAGCATCACCCTTCTAAAATGTAGTTGTATTCCTGAGCTAGAGAACATTTCTATTTATGTTAACAATAATATACTCTTTGACCCAACAACCCAGAGCACTTTAAAGTGTAAGCAGATATTATTCATGATAGTAATCATAACTTGAAACCATCCAAAGTAATTATCAATACAAGAAAGACTATTTTACATAATAAATAATAGTATCTTCCACAGTGTGGTACTATGCAAACAGTAGAAATAGTAATTATATATTAATATACAAAGACATTTAATAAATTGAGTGATATTCAGGTTATAAAACAGATTAATACTATGGCCCCATCACTGTAAATTTACTTACATGTAGAGATGCATACAAAAATGCCTAGAAGGATATTCGTCCAAATGTTAACTGTTACCGCTGAGTAGTATGAATACAGTTGACCTGATTTTTTTATAATTTTTTTTTTTTACCATGAGCACTTTACTTTTCTAATCACAAAAAGAAATAAAAGACTTTTTTTTCCCTTAAAGGGCATAGTATTTTCTGAGAGAAGGAACAGTATTGTTTCACTACAAATCTTAGGTTCTAAAGTTTTTATGGCAAATGACATGAATACTAGTATACATAGATACAGTACTATAGAATTCAAAAGCAGAAGATGAGAACATTTCAAATGGCTCTTAATTGGCTAAAAGAGAGATTAACACAAACCTTTTTCAGATAAATCTGAAGCAAATCATTCTTAGAAGTTATACCACAATCATTTTTAGCTTGTTCTCTGAATGTTTCCCTTTGCAGGTGCAGAGCAGATTCAGTTCAGTTCAGTGCAGTGAATGCCTCAGCCACCATTTCCCATTTGGCTCATACTTGTTTCTAAAACAGGCTGTCCAATAGAACTTTTAGCAACAATGGTGAAATAGACTCTGTGTGCTGTCCAATAAGGTAGCCCCTAGCCACATACAGCTTTTGAGCTCTGGCAGTGTGGTTTGTATACGCTACCTGTGCCTAGTGGCTTCTTTATTGAACAGCACAAATTAAGAATACTTATAATATTTCCAATAACTCAGCACCGTTTAGAAGACTAAAGTTTTTAACTCCAAATTAAGCTGAGTAAATGGTTCCTCTGTAATTCAGAGATACTATTTCAAATTTAAAATACCGCCCTGGCCGGTTTGGCTCAGCGTTTAGAGCATCGACTTGCAGTCCAGAGACCCTGGTTTGGTTCCCACTAGGGCACGTACCTTGGATGCAGTTTGTCCCCAGCCCTGGTTGGGTTGTGTAGGTGGCAGCCACTCGATGTGTCCCTTTCACGTCGATGTTTCTCTCTCTCTCTCTCTCTCTCTCTCTCTTCCTCTTTCTCCCTTCTACGCTATCTAAACAAAAAATGGAAAAATGTCCTTGGGTGAGGATAATAAAAAAAAAAAATTTAAAATACGTGTGCTTTTTTTACATGGTAATTTTGCCCTCTGCGGAATAAAATAGATAATCACTGTTTTCGGTCATGTGAGCAATGTTTCTAGTACCAAACAATCTTTCTGACAGGATAACGATTTAATCATCAATATTAATGGTCAATGGGTCACGTCCAATTTCACAGTTAGATGAATCCTATTGCTCTGACCAGTTTATTGTTATTAACAACTACATTGCCCTTTAGGTCATTAAAGGTCTCTCCTCAGGCTAGTGACCTGGTGTATTCACCATGGCAGATGAGTATTTCTCTGAATTTGTCCCTTTGAGGGTATAGAGCAGATTCAGTGCAGCAAGTAGAGTCAGCCATCAGCTAAAATACATTTGCCTTTCTGCTCATCCTGGATAGAAAAAGGTCTAGAATACACACCGAGCTATTTTCCATCACCAGGGAAAAGAGCAGTTTGGAGGGTGAGAAAGTAAAAGGGGGTGGGGTGGGGGGAGGTACCTTTTTAAGTTCTTGTTCAAATCTTTGTTTAACCAAGAGCATACTCATATTTTCATACTCAAATTTAGAAATAATTTTTTAAACAAATTCCAGATCAGCTTTTCTTAAAATGCTAAAATACTTTTATTTACTATATTAAGTGTGTGTGTGTGTGCTCCTTTCAGAATACAGCAAAATGTTTAGATGGGTGTTTATAAAACATGTCAGTGATGGCCCTGGCCGGTTTGGCTGGGTGGTTACAGTGGCAGCCCTTGAACCAAGGGGTCACAGGATGGATTCCTGGTCAAGGGTACGTACCTGGGTTGCAGGTTCAATCCTCAGCCCCAATCTGGGTCATGCAGGAGGCAACCAATTGATGTGTCTCTCTCACATTGATGTTTTTCTCTGTCTCTCTCTCTCTTCCTCCCTTCCACTCTAAGAACCAATGAAAGGGTATCCTCTGGTGAGGATTAACAAAACAAACAAACAAATTAAAAAAACATGTTGATGATGAAAGAAGAAAAAAATGGACTTCCTATGTTTAGATAACCTAAAACTACTGTTTTGGGAAAAGAATGGCCAACAATCTGGGTTCTCTACAGGAAAAACAACACAAGCATCTCAGCTCTCAGATACAACATTTTTACCTTCTGTAAATAAATCCCACCCACTCATAGGAGAACCATGTGAAGAATCAGAATCTTATCATGAATGAGAAACCAGAGCCATGTGCATGGTGTGCACTGGAAAGCCAGTTCGAGGTTCCTTGGGATCCTAGACAAGCTATTAGAATCTGAAACTCGCAGTCCAGAGAATTCTGTCTTCTCCTATAAAATAAGGTATTTCTACCATCCCTGGTGCACCCACAGAAATGTTTATTCCTATATTCCCATGATACTCTTAACTTTCAGTATTTGGGGGATACAGCACTGTTAGACCAGTAGGGGAAGAGAGTATGGGCTTTCAAGTCATTACCACTCTTCAAATTGTGCCCTTTTTTAGACAAGTTATTTGATTTTTTTAGAGTTTCCATGTCCTTCTTTCTAAGATGCAGAGTAATAACCACCTATCTGGGTTCTTAAAAAGTTTAGCAATAATGTATATAAAGCACCTTAGAGATCTTGCTACCGGAACAGTGATTGAAAATGATTATACATAGTCAGACACAGGTATGAAAAGTTTTATTATCAGCATAGTACAGTATTGATGATTCTAGCAAGCCATTTCTAATATATCCTCAAAGAAGAACAAGTCTCTTTTAGAGGATACATTCATGCACACCACATGCCTGGGAAAGACCCAATGTCTGGTCTTTACTTCCCTTTTCTCTCTTCCTCTTCCCTCCCCTTGTATTTAGTAGCCCCTTCCTTAAAACCTAAGACGTCCCAGCAGGTGTGGCTCAGCAGACTGAGCGCCCTCCTGTGGACTGAGAGGTCACAGTTCAATTCCTGGCCCAGGGCACGTGCCTGGGTTGTGGGTTTGATCCCCAGTGAGGGGTGCGGGGCTTGCAGGAGGCAGCCAATCAATTGTTCTCTCCCACATTGATGTTTCTATCCCTCTCTCCTTTCCTCTCTCTCTAAAAAAATCAATGAAAACATTATTTAAAAAACAAAAAACCTAAGACCTTTTGTTAGGAGTCTTTGCAACTGATGATTTCAGTGGTGTTTTGCTGGGACTTCTCTGTTTCTTCATAGAGTTCTCCAGTTTGTTTTTACCCAGATGGCTCTTTTTATTAATTGGTTTCTATTAGGGGCAGGTCAGTTCGCTGGGGATAGGAAAATGTTGAAAAACACAGCAAATACGGCACAAGCTAAATAAGCTGCAATTGCTATCCAAAACCGTGGATCTTTCAGCAGTGTCTTATCAAAGCAGCTAAACACTGTGTACCCTATGGACATTCCAGCAAATCCACCTGCAATGTGAGCTGCAAAAGACACCTTGGGAGAAAAGGGGGGAGGGATGGAAATAAGTGAAAAAGTGTTCATTACATATTTCAGTTGCATCTCTCTTATTAAACAACAAATATCATCACAGTCACACAAGAATCTTTAAATGTCTGAAGAACAAGGAACTCAGGCGAGAGACACAAAACTTCACGTGCACAGAGAGATGTTCTAAAATATGCAAAGCTAAGTATGTCATTTCACTGACTCTCCGAGTACACAAGACAGAGCTGCTGTTCCTCAGTCTACTTGATCATCATCCCATTTGGGATGGTTCTAGATAGAGAACAGAGTTGAGTTGCAGGATGGATCGTTCTATAGGAGCATAATTTGATCTCACATAAACAAAATGTCAGAATTAAAACACAGAACCTATCAAATATAAAGGTTAATTCCAACAAAATGAGATCTTTGTAAGTTTTCTTTATATTGTAAATTCATCTGGACCCAAGTTTTCATTGCTGATTTCTAATCTGCTTTTTTTTCCCTCTGTGGTAGTGAAATCCCTTCTCTCCTGTTCTGGAATAGCTACCAGTATGGTAGGTACAGAGAAGTAGAGCCAGTGGTCAAGGCCTGAGAGAATTAAGTGAAAAGGACAATCCAAAAGTCTTATTTGCTCAGGAATTTTCTTCCAGATGGAAATTTGACTGCCCTAAATGACATAATTGTTGCCCCTATTTGAGGACCCTTTTTAGCTACTGATAAGATAGGTAAACAAATTTTCATTAAAGAAAACAGTAAGCTGAACTCACCGGTGATGACCCATTTGCAGGGACAACGAACCTTCTGTAGAGAGCAAATCCCATATCTGATGTGACTAGAAGGAAAGACAAGCCGATGAAGCTCTCCACAACAATGCACCAAATGCTTTGGTTTCCTCTAATAATAGTAGCAGCTAACATTTATTGAGGCTCATTCTGTGGCAGGTGCTATTCCAAGGGTTTGACATGATTAACGTTGTATCATTAATCATCACAATGCCCAATGAAATCGGTACTATCATTATCCCATTTTACAGATTTATTCATCCAACAAGTATTTACTGATTGTCTTCTATGTGCCAGGCACTATTTTAGGTGGTAGACCTACTGTAGTGAGCAGACCAGATAGCCCTGTCTTATGGAGCTGAGGGAGGCAAACAAACAAGTCAAACATACAATGTGTCAAGTAGTGCTAAGAGCTGTGGAAAAATACAAAGGGAGGAAGGAGAATTGGGAATGCAGGGAGTAGGGTGTGACTTTTAATAGGAGAGTCAGGGAGGATCTCACTGAGCTTCTGACATCTGAGATAAGGGAACAAGCTATGCTGACCTTTGAAATAAGAGGCCGCCAGGCAGAGGGAAGAGCACTTGCAAAGTCCCTAAGGCAGGAATGTGCCTGGTGTGCTTGAGAAACACTAAAACAGTTGATCTGGCTGGGTAGGTGGTTTTCAAAGTGTGGTTCTCCCTGCAAGAGCAGCATCACCTGGAAGCATATTAGAAATTTAAATTCTCAAGCTCACTCCAGATTTATTGAACCAAAAACTGTGAAGGTAAGGCTCACAGTCTGTGTTTTAACAAGACTTCCAGGTGATTCTGCACTACCATTAGTGATAAAGTGGTAGGTGATGAGCAGGGGACAGGTCATGTAGGGGCCATGTAAGGACTTCGACTCTCATTCTGAGTGATAGGCAGCCTTTGAAAGCTTTAAGCACAGAAGTGACATGATCTGTTTTATGTTTTTAAAAGCTTATTCTGACAGTTATATAGGGAATTACACCATCTGAGAGCAAGGACAGGAGCAGGTAGACCACTGAGGAATGAGGAAGGAATGATGGTGGCATTTTATACATAAAGAAACCAAGCCCAGCTGGTGTGGCTCAGTGGATTGAGCGTTGTCCTATGGACTGAGAGGTCCCGGTTCAATTCCCAGTCAGTGCACATGCCCAGGTTGTGGGCTCGATCCCCAGTGAGGGGCGTGCAGGAGGCCAATAGATGTTTCTCTCTCACGTCGATGTTTCTATCTCCCTCTTACTTCCTCTCTCTCTAAAAAAATCAATAAAAACATATTTTTTTCTTCAAATAGAAAGAAACCAAGACACATAAGTACTTCCCCAAGTACTTAAAACAGGTCAGAGGCAGGGATAGGATTTGAACCTTAAGCAGTGAGATTCCACTCTCACCCACCACACTAACTGCCTCTACTTACCATCAAGAAAACTAAAGGTGGGCCAAGAAAGGGGATGAGTCCACATTCTCCAATGGAACAGTGAGAGCCAGCACTTCGACATTTTTCAAATGAGTCAGCTCTGTGCTGCCAAAGGAGACTCTGGGTTTCTTGGCCTAGGACTCTGCCTTACATGTGCAGCACTTGGAAACATCTCATGCAGCTGTGACATTCAACAGCCATCCCCCAGTTCCCTGTGCTCCACTTAGTGAGCCAGTGTGCCCTGGGAGATGGAAAGGCCCAGTCCTTGCCTTTGGGAAAAGAGCTTCAATACTGTATTGACGTTGAAGTCACTGGACAGGAATTGAGGTCAAGAAAGTACTCAATATTAATTTAATTGCAAATGACTATTACACAAAGTTCTGGATAAATGTGGCTGTGTGGTATTTTCAATCATTTGTACTTCCTGATCCAGTGTAAGTATCACACAGAGATGGGACTAGAAAGTATAAGAAAACCCTGCCAGAGAATAGGGCTGACTTCTTGAAAACAGTTACTCTGGTCTAGTCTTCCAGGGTAGGAGGCCTCCTCTCCAAGTGTTTGTAACCCTTAGCTTGTCAATTTCTCCATTCCATTTCTCTTTTATCTTTTTTTAAATATGTTTCTATTGATTTTGTTTTTTTGTTTGTTTATCCTCGCCTGAGGACATTTTTGCATTTATCTTCAGATAGAGTGGGGAGGGAGAAACATTGATGTGAGAAAGACACATCAACTGGTTGCCACCCACACAACCCCAACAGGGACTGGGGACAAACTGCAACGGAGGTACGTGCCCTTAGCGAAAACCGAACCCGGGATTTTCTGGTCCACGGGCTGACACTCTAACCGCTGAGCCAAACCAGCCAGGGTTTGATTTTGTTTTTTTAGAGAAACTTTGAAGTGAGGGAGAAACATTGTTTAGCTGCCTGCTGCACGCCCCCTACTGGGGATCAAGCTTGCAACCTGGGCATGTGCCCTGACCAGGAGTTGAACTGGGACCTCTCAGTCCACTGAGCCACACCAGCCAGGCTATTTCACTTTTATCTTACCCCCCTCCACACATCTCTGGCTCCTTCTGCTTTCTAGGAGAGTTTGCTTCCTTAACGTTTTCCAAAGGGAAGCTTACTTGCATTGTCAGAAAACACATCAAACAAGTAATGCTTAATGAAGGAAGGTGCTTAAGGCCAACTGTCTTCCACAATTAAGAATAATTTTTAGCCCTGGCCAGGTAACTAAGTTGGTTAGAGCATCGTCCTGATACACCAAGGTTGCAGGTTTGGTCCCCAGTCAAGGGCACATACAAGAATCAACCAATGAATGCATAAGTAAGTGGAACAACAGATTAATCTCTTTCACTCTCTCTCCCCCATCCTCTCTTCTCTCTCTTTAAATTCAACAAATAAAAATTTTTTTTTTTTTTTTATCCTCACCCGAGGACATTTTTCCATTTTTTGCTCAGGTAGAGTGGGAGGGAGAGAGAGGAACAGAGAGAGAGAGAGAAACATCGATGTGAAAGGGACACATCGAGTGGCTGCCACCCGCACAACCGACCAGGGCCGGGGACAAACTGCAACCGAGGTACGTGCCCTTAGCGGGAACCGAACCCGGGTCTCTCAGGACCGCAGGCCGACGCTCTAACCGCTGAGCCAAACCGGCCAGGGCAACAAATAAAAATTTTTAAAGCCCTGGCCGGTTTGGCTCAGCGGTTAGAGCATCAGTCCAGAGAGACCCGGGTTCAGTTCCCGCTAAGGACACGTACTTCGGTTGCAGTTTGTCCCTGGCCCTGGTTGGGGTCGTGTGGATGACAACCACTTAATGTGTCTCTCTCACATTGATGTTTCTCTCTCTCTCTTTCTCCCTCTCTCCCTCCCACTCTGTCTGAAGATAAATGCAAAAATGTTCTCTGGTGAAAATAAAAAAAAAATTTTTAGTAATTTTTACCATTAAAAATATATATGTGTGGGTTCTGGTCAAGATGGCAGTATAAGTAAACACAGTACTCTCTTCCTCCCACAACCACATCAAAATTGTAACTAAACTATAGAACAACCATCTTTCAGAACCGCCTGAAACCAAGCTGAATGAAAGTCCTACAACTATGAAATGAAAGAAGCAGCCGCACTGAGACTGATAGGAGGGGCGGAGGTGCAGATGGGCTGGTCCCACACCCACATGTGGTGGATAAAAATCAGGGGGGACAGCCCTGGCCGGTTTGGCTCAGAGATTAGAGCGTCAACCTGCGGTGCAGAGAAAACTGGGTTCGGTTCCCGCTAAAGGCACGTACCTCGGTTGCAGTTTGTCCCCAGCCCTGGTTGGGTCATGCGGGTGGCAGCCACTCGATGTGTTCCTTTCACGTTGATGTTTCTCTCTCTCTTCCTCTCTCTCCCTCCTGCTCTATCTGAACAAAAAATGGAAAAAATGTCCTCGGGTGAGGATAAAAAAAAAATCAGAGGGACAAGTCGGCTGGGAAGGTCCTTCCTTAGGAATGAGGGGTCCCCGTCCCACACCAGGCGCCCAGCTCAGGGTAGTGCAAGGAAGAGAAGTCCCTATAACTTCTGACTGTAAAACCAGCGGGAACTGAGGCTGAGGGAGGCTGAGGCTTATGGAGCCCCAGGCAGCTCCTCTTAAAGGGCTCACACACAGACTTACTCGGACTCGCACCCTCCAGGCTCCAGCACAGAGGGGAGGCAGCTTGAATGGCACCAGAGACATATGGGGAAGAACTGAGTTGTTTGGCATCAGAGCGAGAACTGGAGAGGCAGCTTTCTCTTGGACAGATGTGCTGGCGGAAGCCACTGTTCCTTTGGTGAGCCCTTCCCTGGGCTGGCAGACAGCCACCATGTCTAGTACTCCAGCAACCTGGCTCACACTGTTTGCCCTGCCCTGGTGATTCCCTGAGACCCTGCCCCACCCAACTTTCAGGCCCACTCAAGCTGTTGCCAGGATTGGCTTGTTTTGGCTCCTGCTTTCAATTTTCTTAAATTGTCTTAAACAAGCAGCATCTGGTCTCAGCGAGCCTCATACCTCTCACCAAGTGGCCCCAGGCCTGGCACTAGAAGCAGCCAGCCTTGGTTCACAGCTTGGCCTTGCCTGGGCACCTTCAAGCCCAGCACAAGAAGCAGCCATCAGCATTTTGCTTTGTAGCTTATGCCTGATGGCCCCCAGTAGAACACAGGCAGTGGCTGACCTTGCCCCAGAGTCAGCACACCCAGTGGACAGCTTTAGATCATGTCAAACCACCACCACCCAACCACCTCCACAAGTGACACACTCAAGGGATGGACTCAGTAGGTACCAGAGCCCTGCTGAAGTAAGTCTTGCTCTGTGTGGTGGGCCGCTGCACAGCTGATCCTCCAAGGTCGTCAGAGGCCAGTGGCCAGTGGGCACAGCCAGTCCTTGCAGCTGACCAGCCTGAGTAAACCCTCCCACTGACATGCCAACAGCAATTAAGACTCAATTACAACAGAAGGGTGTAAAGTCCACACGAGGGGTGCACCTCGAGGGCCCATCTGGGTGACCAGGGAGGCTGTGCCACTGGACCCTACAGGACACCTACTACAACAGTCTCTTTCCTCAGAGGTAGTTATCCCTGTTCCCATAGTATGAATAACTGAACTCAATACCAATTAGCAGAATCATTTTTTCTTACCATGTGGACAGCCAAAAACATAGGCTTTATCAAAACCCTCTGTCTTGGTCCTCAAGTCTGACCCCAATATCTGCCCTTTTCCCCACACCCTATGAGTAAACACAGCTTCAGCCAGATCAGCTCTAGAAACACAAGTAACTGGCCCTGCCTTTGCCCTTACTTTTGTGAGCAAATAAAGGGATTCTACGGAAAGTAACCTCACAGGGTGATCTGATCATAAATTCCTAACTGGACAGGTCATGGTGGGTAGGTAGTCACGCCCCCGGCCTATCACTTCTTTAGTGAAAGATCTTAAGCCAGCCATGTCCATTGTTGTTGTGCTTCTAGGTTAACACATCTTTGTGCCAGAATACCCCTGGAAGGTGGTATTAACCCTCAAGAGAGCACATAATCTTGCTAATTTATAATCCAATCACTGCTTTGCTTTCTACAATCCTCCTTACATCCCCTCCTTAATTGTAAATGCATAAAAGAAGCTGCAAAACTGTTATTTTTCCAGAGCATTTGAAATCTGGCTCCCCAGCATATATCATCAATTTGGCTCAAAGAAATTCATGAAAACTCTCTACAGGTTTGGACTTTTTTTTTTTTAAATAAATAGTTTTTCTTTATTGATTTTAGAGAGAGAGAGAAACATCGATGAGAGAGAACATCCACTGGCCGCCTCCTGCATGCCCTCCACTGGGGATATGGCCCACAACCTGGGCATGTGCCCTGACCGGGAAAAGAACCGGCGACATCTTGGTTGACACTCAACCACTGAGCCACACCAGACAGGCAGGTTTGGACATTCTTTTGTCGATGGTGTGGAATCTACCCTGACTCTCAGACACAGATAAAATCCCACTTCCTCTCCAGATTGAACACTCTGCCCAATTCCTTTAGCGTGTAATTCTCTTCTGTAATTCTTGCAGCTGTCAAAAGCCACATTAGTCACTCTCCTAGCTCCCTGAACTTTCAGTTCCTTTTCCTCCATTCTCATGATCAGTCCTCAGCTACTACTCCATGCTCATATTCTAAATCAGTTTTGTGGGGGGTTTTTTCCAATCTGCAAATTTAGAAATTGAGGACAGCTTTTCCTTTTCAGAAAAAAAATATACAGAATCCAAAATATGAACAAGAAAAATCAGTATATAAAACAAAGGAAGCCAGTCCACTCTTTTGACCTCCCTCACTCAGAAAGGAACTGAAAGGAAAAACCCGTTACTGCAGCACCTCTAAGAACCACCCACCGGGGTATGCGAAAACCCCACCATTTATACCGTTCTGCTTAGGGCTCAGGAGCTGAGGATTTCTGACTCTAGGCTAGCCACCATCCTACATTTTAGCGTGTAGGAAATGTGAGAAGAACTTCTGAAGGATGAACCAATAAAATTGAAGGAATGAAGTGTTCACAAAACAAACTTACTTATCAAGATGATGATCAGTAGTCTGACAATTCCGAAGGCAGGAATCATTTCTCGAAAATTCTTGCAAAGAGATAATGATAAGATAAGCTCTCTATTGGCAAATGAAACCTCAACTGTACTCCCTCTTCATCTTCTTTTTCATTTAGAATAATGTTTGAGTGTCAAATATTTGCAAAACAAAGAACGGCTATAATAGCCCAGTTTTCAAATGTATTTGGGAAGTACAACTCTGGTGTAGTTTGAAGAACAAAACTGAAACATGACATTTAACACCATGATATAATCTAGACACAATTTTATGATCAGGAAATGATCTAAATATAAGTAACATAAAATCAGCATTTAATATGTAATAGATAGATATAGATGCTGTCAAACCAAGTCTGATGAAATATTTCTAAGGGTTTTTTTGGTTAATATTCATTTGATACTTCTTTGTCCTCTTTCTAATTAGGAGTTAGGAAAAAACTAACATTTGAGTACTGCCTTAGTTTTTTAAGATAATTTCAAGAAAATTTTTAAGTGTTGGTCAGAAAAATCACCTCAGTCCAGCTTGCAGTAACTTCATGTGTTAACTAGAGAATGAAGTCAGAAAGACATTGCTACTTTAATTTACTGAGTTACATCTTCGTTTCCTTTCAAGTTTTTCACTCTCTTCCCAAGAAGTAAAGATGCTGAAATAGCCGTGTTTATTCTAAATAAAATTTCAAACTGTTGTGACCTGACTTATAGAAAGAATACTTTACATAACAATCCAGTACACACATAAATAGTACTTATTATAACTGAAATTTTTTCCACTTTCTTTTTGCTTAACTTTCCACAACACTTAAACTGAGTTCACAACCACTAATGGATTGAAATTCAAAGTTTGAAAAACATTTTTCTAAATGCCTTCTATTTTTGGAACAGTTTTATAATTGCTTCATAGTGTTCCTCCTATAGTATTTTTAAAGTATAGATATATAAATAAGTATAAATAAAACATTAATACTTTATATTTTTAAGTATACCTACATGGTTAAAGAGTTAAAAACTAGACAGGATTTTAGTCTGTTTTAAAAAGTGGTTGGCATTCTCACTGTATCATGGAAAAGTAAAATAGTATGTAAACTTTGGAGGATGATTTGGCATTGAAATCCACTTCTAGGGAATTATCGTACAAAAAAAAAATCACGCAAATGCAAGATAAATGTACAAGAACATTCTTTACAGCATTGCTTGTAAATGTAAAAAATTGGCATCACTTCCTATTTTTTCCAGCGAAAGATTAAATAAGTCAGGATACAGCTCTATCCTGTATAGGACCCTACAGTATAAAGGGTGCTGCAGAGCACTTGGAAAGAGGTGGATTTCTCTGTACTGATGGGTAGATGGTCAGGATACTCAGTGTTAAAACGCAGAACACTATAAGGGTGGTTCCATTTTTGTAATATTAATTTTGGTAAGATTTTGAATACATATAAAAGAAGATCTGAAAGAATGTATATCACACTGTTAACATACTATGTTGGGGATTCTAACTTTCTATTTCTCAGTTCCAATTATCAATTATATCAATTATCCTCATACCAAATACCAGTTTGTTTGTTTTTTCTTTAAAAAAGGGTCCATAGCCCTGGCCGGTTTGGCTCAGCGGTTAGAGCGTCGGCCTGCGGTCCTGAGAGACCCGGGTTCGGTTCCCGCTAAGGGCACGTACCTCGGTTGCAGTTTGTCCCCGGCCCTGGTCGGTTGTGCGGGTGGCAGCCACTTGATGTGTTCCTTTCACATCGATGTTTCTCTCTCTCTGTTCCTCTCTCTCCCTCCCTCCCACTCTACCTGAACAAAAAATGGAAAAATGTCCTCCGGTGAGGATAAAAAAAAATTTAAAATAAAAAAGGGTCCATAGATTTCTTACCACCAGAACATTCATAAAATAGCCTCCCATCAGAGCATAGACTCCTCCTGAAGCACCCACAAGATATTTGAGTGGGTCAAAGATGGAGCTGGCAAGGGATCCTAAAGAAATAAAACACAAAGGATCAGAGGACTCTAAGAATCATGAAAGATCAATCTTTCTAATCTAAAGTAAAAGTATGGGAGGTTTGGGCCATTATCATATTAACAAGCAACATATTCACTTTGTCTCTTCTATATTATAAAAGTATAGCTATAGCTTTTTAGGCTACCTACCTCAATTTTTCTGAAACACTGATTGTTCAATATGAAGACAGTATAACAGTAATAAAAGCACAAACTCTGGAGCCAAAATTACCACCTGTGTTACTTGAGCAAGTTTCTTAACCTTTATGTGCCTTAGTTTCCCTACCTAGGAAATGGATATATTAACCTCAATGAGTTGTCATGGGAAGTAAATGAGTTGTTATGTGCATCATGTTTAGAACACTGCCTGACATGTATTATATACTTGTTATTGTTTCAAAATATTCTACATGTTTAACCCAAACTATCAAAATACCTGAGACATGCCAACACTTTATCTTATCTAATGGCTAGCTTTCTCAAGGACTCAAGATGTGGCCTTTGAACATTTCTCAACATACCATTCAATCAGACTCACCAAGCAAGATGAAATCTATTTGCTAACCCAATCTTAGATTGCCTGAACCACCTCATTCAGACTCTAACATATTCTCTCTATACTACTTAGATCTATTATTTGATCTCTTGCTTTTGAAGCCTTCCTTCATTCCTTAGAATCCAGTATAATATCTACTTTGTGCAAGTAATACAGAGTCTGACCTTAGGAATCTTACAAATGAATGAGCAAACAATCATAAAATGCAGAATATGATAACTGCTATAATTTTTTTTATCCTCACTCAAGGATATGTTTATTGATTTTTTTTTTCTCTTAGAGTTTGTCACATTCTATTTTTTATTTATTTTTTAATTTTATTTTTGTTACAGATGTTCCTCCTTTTTTACCCCATTGATACCCCTCCCCCCATCCCCGGCTTTGTTGTCCATGTCCATTGGTTATGCATACAAGCATATAAGTTCTGTGGTTTATCTCTTCCCACCCCCCACCACCTCCTCTTCTGAGGGTTGTCAGTCTGTACACTACTTCCATGTTTCTGGGTCTACCCTATTCCTCAGACTATTATGTTTATTGATATTTTAAAAATATGTTTTTAGCCCTGCCCAGTTTGGCTTAGCAGTTAGAGCGTCGGCCCATGGACCACAGAGTCCGGGGTTCGGTTCCCGCTAAGGGCATGTACTTTGGTTGCAGTTTGTCCCCAGTCCCGGTTGGGGTTGTGTGGGTGGCAACCAGTCAATGTATCTCTCACATCGATGTTTCTCTCTCTCTCTTCCTCCCTCTCTCCTTTCTGCTCTATCTGAAGATAAATGCAAAAAATGTCCTCGGGTGAGAATAAAAAATATGTATATATACACACACACACACACACACACATATATATATGTATACACATATACATATATATACACACATATACATGTTTTTATTGATTTCACATAAAAGAAGGTAGAAGGAGAGAGAAACATCAATGCTGCTTCCTGCACACCCCATACTAGGGATCAAGCCTGCAACCCAGACATGTGCCCTGACCAGAATCGAACTGCCAACCTCCTAGTACATGGGACGACATTCAGCCAACTGAAACACAGCAGCGGGCTGTTCATTGATTTTAGAGAGAGGAAGGGAGAGAGAGAAAAACATTTATGTAAGAGAGATTGATCAGTTGCCTCCCATATGTGCCCAACCAGGGATCGAACCTGCAACCAAAGTATGTGCCCTGACTGGGAATTGAACCTGCAACTGGGAATGGAACAATGCTCCAACCAACTGAGCCACCAGACTGAGGATGATTTTTTTTTTTAATATAATAAATTTGCTATGGAGGCATCTAAGAAGGAGTGACTTTCTCAGCAGAGAGGTGGAGGCCCTGCTACTCTGAGAAGGAGATGGCTTTTTTTTTTTAATCCTCGCCCAAGGACAGTTTTTCATTTATCTTTAGACAGATTAGGAAGGAGGGAGAAAAGGAGAGAGAGAGAGAGAGAGAGAGAGAGAGAGAGAGAAACATTGATGCAAGAGAGACACATCGACTGGTTTCCTCCCACGTGACCCTCACCAGGGCCAGGGACAAACTGCAACTGAGGTATGTACCCTTGACCAAAATCGAACCCGGCTCTCATTGGTCCGCGGGCCGACCCTCTAACTGCTGAGCAAAAACTGGCCTGGGCAGCATATGGCTTTAATTTTTTTTAATTTTTTTTTGTTTCTCTTTGTTTTACCCCATTGGCTCCCCCCTCCCCAACCCCCCCCCCCACCGCCCTGTCCCTGGCTTTGTTGTCCATGTCCATTGGTTATGCATATATACATATAAGTTCTGTGGTTTATCTCTTCCCACCCCCCCACCCCCTCTTCTGAGTGATGTCAGTCTGTGCCCTACTTCCATGTTTCTGGGTCTACCGTATTCCTCAGACTGTTATGTTCATTATATTCCGTATATAAGTGAGATCATGTGGTACTTGTCTTTTTCTGCTTGGCTTATTTCACTTAGGATAATACTTTCCAGGTCCCTCCGTGTCATCTCAAAGGATAAGAGATCTTTCTTTCTTACAGCTGCATAGTACTCCATTGTGTATATGTACCACTGCTTTTTTATCCATTCGTCTACTGATGGACATTTGGGCTGTTTCCAGATCTTAGCTATTGTAAATAGTGCTGCTATGAACATGGGGGTACATATATTCTTCCTAATTGGTGTTTCAGGCTTCTTATGGTATATTCCTAGAAGCGGGATCACTGGGTCAAATGGAAGTGCAATTTTTAAGTTTTTGAGGAAACACCATATTGTTTTCCATAGTGGCTGCACCAGTCTGCATTCCCACCAGCAGTGTACTAGAGTCCCCTTTTCTCCACACCATTGCCAACACTTGTTTGATGATTTGTTGATGGCGGCCATTCTGACAGGTGTGAGGTGATACCTCATTGTTGTTTTAATTTGCATCTCTCTGATGATTAATGATGTTGAGCATTTCTTCATATGTCTCTTAGCCATTTGTATGTCCTGTTTGGAGAGGTGTCTATTCAGTTCCTCTGCCCATTTTTTAATTGGGTTCTTTGTCCTCCTTTTGTTGAGTTGTATATATTTTGGAAATTAACCCCTTATCTGATGTATCATTAGCAATGATGTTCTCCCATACAGTGGGTTGCCTTTCCATTTTGATGACTGTTTCTTTTGCTGTGCAGAAGCTTTTTAGTTTGATGTAGTCCCATGTGTTCATTTTTCCCTTTGTTTCTGATGCCTACATTTTCTTCTAGAATTTTTATGGATTCACGGGTCACATTTAAGTCTTTTATCCATTTTGAGTTTATTTTTGTGTATGGTGTAAGTTGATGGTCTAGTTTCATTTTTTTGCATGTAGCTGTCCAATTTTCCCAACACCATTTATTAAAGAGGCTGTCTTTACTCCACTGTATGTTCTTGCCACCTTTGTCAAATATTAACTGAGCATATTGCCTTGGGTCCATTTCTGGGTTCTCAGTTCCACTGGTCTATATGCCTGTTCTTGTGCCAGTACCAGGCTGTTTTTATTACAGTTGCTTTGTAGTATAACCTGATATCTGGTATTGTGATCCCACCTACTTTGTCCTTCTTTTTCAAAATTCCTGTGGCTATTCAGGGACTTTTCTGGTTCCATATGAACTTTTGAAGTATTTGTTCTAGTTCTGTAAAATATGTCATTGGTTTTTTAATGGGGATTGCATTGAATCTATAGATTGCTTTGGGTAGTATGGACATTTTAATGATGTTACTTCTTCGAATCCATGAACAAGGTATGTGTTTCCACTTTTTTATATCTTCCTCTGTTTCTTTTTTCAATGTCCTGTAGTTTTCTGCAAATAGGTCCTTTACTTCTTTGGTTAAGTTTATTCCTAGGTATCTTAATTTTTTTGCTGCGATGGTAAATGGGATTGTTTTTTCAGTTTCTCTTTCTGTGAGTTCATCACTGGTGTATACGAATGCCATCGATTTCTTGACGTTAATTTTGTATCCTGCTCCTTTGACAAATGCATTTATTAAGTCTAGTAGATTTTTGATGGAGTCTTTAGGGTTTTCTATGTATAATATCATGTCATCTGCAAATAATGACAGTTTCACTTACTCTTTTCCAATTTGGATCCCTTTTATTTTTTCTTCATGTCTGATTGCTGTGGCTAAGACTTCCAGTACTGTGTTAAATAAGAGTGGTGAAAGTGGACAAGGAGATGGCTTTTTTATTAAACACTGAGGAATCTTTAAAAGTTGGACAGGGAAAACAAAGGAGAAGAAGGTACTTAGGATGTAGGGATCTGGAAAACCAAAGACATAGAAACGTAGGTATATGGATGTCTGAAGATCAGTAATAAGTAGTTCAATGGGTTTAGAGCAGTGGTTTTCAACTTACAGACTAGGGCTAGGGTGGTTGCATCTTAATCATATAAGAAATTCCTTTTTAAAAGACATATACAAATGTTCACTTCTGGCCATGATGGAGTCCCAAGTATAAGATTTGTCTTCCCACTTGAAATAGCTAAAAGCACTGAACAGAATATCTGAAACAATGTTCTTCAAGATACTGGACATCAGATAACAAAGGACGGTGAACCCGAAGAAACACAAAATGAATGAAATGAGTTGTCTGATTGCCCAGCTTACTACCTTAAGAGAGATGACAGGCTGCAGTGCATGGAGGAATAAACCCAAGTAGATCTCAGTAAACTTTAAGTTGATGAAATAGTTTAGAATTCAGAAAGACCTAGAGTTCAAAAGACAGAGCACCATAGAGAAGGAACCTGCATAGAGAGAGAATTCCAGAGAGAAGCATGTGAGGAAATTATCCAAACCAAGAAAAAAATCACCAGAAAGGAGTAGAGGGAAGAGTACCTCTTGCTCACACGACACCAGAGAGGCTAAGTAACTTTCCAAGCAAGAAAATGTCATAATTCATGGGGCACTGGGTAAAGTACCATAGGAGGGTCCTGTACT